GTAGAGTCAATGGAGGGATGATGGCTCTGCACAACCGTTGTTCCCACGCTGGGCCCTTAGGTATGCCGAAGGATACCGAGAAGGTTTCAACGATCGCCTTCCAGCTGAGGGTCAGACAATCTCAGGCACAGGCCCGGATGATGTTGACAAGGAGCTGGGAATTGATCCTCCAAGAGTCTACGTTGATCCTAACCTCACTCCTGCCGAACACATTTTTGAAGAATATGATGGGATTACCTCATCTGGAGTTATCCCTGTTTCTCCTCCCGCTCAGCCTTTAGACATACCTCTTCTCTTTACCGTGGTTCCCCTTGTGACTACCATTGAAGGTGGAACTTAGCAGACTGAAGTGGTGATTCAACTTGACTCCCCCCCTCACAGGGATGCCATTACCAATGATGGGGAGGGGAATACTAACCATCCTAGGGAGGCTGCCGAGGGTGAGCAGGTGAATGAGGAGTCAGATACAACTTGATTGTACCCGTCTTATGTATATTTTTGTAATCTTTCAGCTTATAATGAATGAAAGGATACTTTTTGACTACATCTGATCAGAATCTCTGCATCACTTGGTGGTAGTACTTAATAATAATTTTTGTTTAACACAAGTGTGTAGCCTTCGGCTCATAACATCAACCACTTGTCTTTTTCATTACTTTTATTAAGTGTCTGGCGTTCGGCAAGAATTCTACTTGCCACTTGGCTTTTTTTTATTTTTATTATTATTATTATTTATCAAGTGTTTGGCGTTTGGCTCGTGGTGCCAGTTGCCACTTACTTTGTTTAAGTGCCGGGCGCTCGACTAGAATGTCACTTGCTGTAACGACCCACTCCACTACATAGTATGATATTGTCCGCTTTGGGCTTGAGCCCGCACGGTTTTATTCTTGGACTTCACCCCAAAAGGCCTCATACCAATTGGAGGTGACACACTTACATATAAGTACTTCACCTTTCCTCTACCCAGGCGATGTGGGACTGTGCACCCGTAGCTTACCAGTGTGGTAGCTTGACAGTGTCTCTCGCACCCGCCCACGACACACCCGCCCATAAGGTCATCACAATCCACCCCCCTTGGAGGCCCGACGTCCCCGTCAGCACACTTTCGGCTAAGTCAGGCTCTGATACCATTTGTAACGACCCACTCCACCACATGGTATGATATTGTCCGCTTTGGGCCTGAGCCCGCATGGTTTTGTTCTTGGGCTTCACCCCAAAAGGCCTCATACCAATTGGAGGTGACACACTTACATATAAGCACTTCACATTTCCTCTACCCAGGCGATGTGGGACTGTGCACCCGTAGCTCGTCAGTGTGGTAGCCTGACAGTGTCTCTCGCACCCGCCCACAAGGTCATCACACTTGCCACTTGACTTTTTCATTATTTTTTAGCAAGTGTTTGGCGTTCAGCTCGTGGTGCCAGTTGCCACTTACTTTGCTTAAGTGTCTGGCGCTCAGCTAGAATGCCACTTGCCACTTGGCTTTTTCATTATTTTTTAGCAAGTGTTTGGCGTTCGGCTCGTGGTGCCAGTTGCCACTTACTTTGCTTAAGTGCCTAGCGCTCGACTAGAATGCCACTTGCCACTTGGCTTTGCTCATACTCAGTCACCTTGTTTAGAAGAAGACGATACATTTTATTTATTTATTTATTTTTTTTTTTTAAATCTTTCAAAGTTTTTGCTCTCTTGCAAGTATACAATTGAAGGTAAACATTGGTTAAACTAAAACTCAATTTTTATTGATAATACCTTTTTAAAGAAGTGGCATTCCAAGGCTTGTTTACTAGCCTTCCAGCCATAGTCTCTAAGACATATGCCCGCTTTTCGATAACCTCTACAACTCTATATGGACCTTCCCATGGTGACACCATTTTCTTAATAATACCGACTTTTCTTTTCAGAACCAAATCACCAGGTGAAAAACCCCTATGCCTCACATTTCTATTGTAACTGTTCATGAGCGTTTGTTGATATGATGTGAGCCTTATTGCTACAGAATTCCTCTTCTCTTCAAGTAAGTTGAGATTAAATTTCAGCATATGATCATTCTGTTCCTAATTCCACGCTAAACTCCTAATGGTAGGAACTTGTTGTTCTACCGGTATTACTGCTTCAGTACCATACTTCATGGGCTTTCTCCGGTCGGTCGTCTTGGAGTGGTTCTATACACCCACAGGACATTCGGGAGTTCATCCAACCACTTCCCTTTCTCTTCTTCAAGCTTCTTCTTTATACAAACAAAGATCGTTCTGTTTGTGATTTCAGCCTGACCATTCGCCTGTGGGTGGCTGACCGCTGCTAATTTTTGATTAATTCCATATTCATTCAGCAACTCCCTCACCTGCTTGCTATCAAGGTTAATCCCATTATCCATGACGATCGCCCTCAGCACACCAAATCGACAAATGATATTATTCCAAATGAAGCGTCTCACATGGGTCTGAGTCACACTGGGGTACGGTTCTGCCTCCACCCATTTTGTAAAGTAGTCTGTTGCAAGCAGAATGTACTTGTTTTGCAATATGGGGGTCGGTAATGGGCCAACCACATCAATCTCTCATTGCGCGAAAGGCCATGGTTTGGCCATTACGTGCAAATCTTCTGGTGGTTGGTAGATCAGTGGTCTGAACCTTTGACACTTATCGCACCTTCGTGAAATTTCTTCTGCATCTCGTACCATGTTTGGCAAAAAAATAACCCTGTGTCATCGCCTTGTGTGCTAGAGACCTTCCTCCTGAATGATTGCCACAAACCCCTTCATTAATAGTCCGCAGTATCTACTGAACCTCTGCAAGGGTTACACATTTTAAGCATGGTCCTAAATAAGACCTCCTGTAAAGTTGGTTGTGCATTATGGCATATTTTGCGGCATTCGATCTGATCCTTCTTGCTTCATCCCTCTGTTCGGGCAAAACACCGTCCCATATATATGTAATAATTGGATCTATCTAGCTCGGTTCATATAGTATAACATTCACCTGTCAGGGATCCGAATTGGACGGTTCATTAAGGATAGATGGCTGGCGTAGTACCCCGATTGGAATTACCCTTGCTAGTATTTCACCTGAACTTGACGCACTACAAGCCAACCGATCGGTATCTTCATTATGCTTCCTCGGCAACTGAATGAACCTGATCTGATCGAAGCTTCTAACCTCTTATATAACGGCAGAACGGTATGCCTCCATTGTCTCATCTTTTATTCCATACTCTCCAGTCACTTGCCAAATTATTAAGTGCGAATCACTGAAGGCAACTAAACTTTTGACCTTTAGCTCCTTAGCTAACCTTAAGCCAGCCAGCAGCGCTTCATACTCTGCTTCATTGTTGGTTGCTTTGAACTCAAGCCTAATCGTTTAGCTCAGCGTAGTGCCTTCTGGTGTTTGTAACTTGATCCCGATTCCTGCCTCCATCTGATTTGAAGAGCCATCAACGAAGAGCTTCCATAAAAATGCTTCAAGGTATTCATCCGGCTCATCTACTTCATATTCTAGTAAGAAATCAGCCACAGCTTGCCCTTTAATAGCCGTTCGGGGTTCATAAGCTATGTCAAAAGACCTAAGCTCTATTGCCCACTTCGTCATTCGTCCGGACAAATCGGGCTTATGCAGGATCACCCTTATAGGAAATGTGGTCAGGACGACTATAGGATGAGACTCAAAGTAATGCCTGAGCTTCCTTTTTACGTTTACCAAAGATAGGATTACTCATTCGGCCTTCGAATACCTTCTCTCTGGCTCGATCAACGTTTTGCTTACATAGAAAATCAAGAATTGCTTACCCTCGGCACATCGTATCAGCACACCACTGGTCGCAATGTTAGAAACTCCAAGGTACAGGAAAAGCTTTTCGCTTGGCACTGGGGCGTTCAGGACTGGTGGGTTCCACATATATTCTTTCAGCTTGATCAGCGCTTGCCTTTGCTCATCCCCCCAGGACTGTTTTCCATAACCCCTAATTGTATCGAAGAATGGTTTGCATCGGTCGGATAACTTAGAAATGAATCGACTCAGTGCCGCAATGCATTCGGTTAGAGCTTGGATCTTTTTGATAGTACTTGGTTCAGCATTTTTTAGCAAAGTTTCCACTTGGGCTGGACTAACCTCAATTCCTTTCTTGTTGACCACGTGGCCAAGGAATTGCCTGGATCCCACGCCAAACGAGTATTTAGTTGGATTCAGCTTCATCCCATATTTTTTTAGCACGCCGAACACCTCATGTAAATGTTTTAAGTGATGGTCCTTTTATCTGCTTTTGACCACCATGTCGTCGATGTAAGCCTCTACTGTCCTGCCCATTTGATCCTTAAAAATCTTGCTAACCACCCTTTGATACGTGGCTCCGGCATTCTTCAGTCCGAACGGCATAACCTTGTAACAATAAATCCCTCGTTCGGTGACAAAATGGGTCTTTTCCTCATCGCCTGGGTCCATTGGGATTTGATTGTAGCCTGAATATGCATCCAAAAAGGTCAGTCGCTCATACCCGGGTGTTGCATCCACCATTTGATCAATCTTTGGAAGTGGAAAACTATCATTCGGGCAGGCTTTGTTCAGATTAGTGAAATCAATGCAAACTTTCCATTTTTCATTCTTCTTTTGCACTACAACCACATTCAACAACCAGTCCGGGTACTGTACTTCTCTAATAAACCCAGCCTCCAGCAATCGATTAACTTCATCTGCAATGATCTGGTTGCGCTCCAGGGCAAACCTTCTCCGCTTCTGCCTTACTGGCTTGACGTTCGGATCTACATTAAGAGAATGGCAAGAGACTGATGGGTCAATCCCTGGCATGTCGAGATGGCTCCAAGCGAATACATCGGCGTTCTGGGAGAGGAAATCAACCAATTGACGTTTTTCTTCCTCGGCAAGCCCGGAACCTACCTTCGTGGTCCAATCTGGGCTAAAATGATCAATTTGAACTTCAACCAGTGGTTCCTCGGTGAGCACTGGAAGCTCCTCCTCTCCGTTCATGCTGAGGGGAGGCTTCTGTAATTGTTATTGCTCATCAGCAGATCGGGCAGGAGCTTTTCCCTTCCTTGTAGCTTTCAAAGTCACCAAGTAATACTCCTTTGCTGCGACCTGATCTCTATGGATATCTATCACCTTGCTACCGTCTGGACTTATGCATCTCATCACCTGATGTAGGGTCGACGGGACTCCTTGTACCCTATGGATCCACCTCCTCCCCATCAGCAGATTGTAGGAGGGATGGATTTCCACAACCACGAAACTTTCGACAAGGTTCTTTTTAACTGCACGGACCATCAACTCCACTATGCCAATAGGTTCTACCCGTTTGCCATCAAACCCCAACAGTGGATTTTCAGTAGACTTCAACTCCTTTGGATTGATTTCTAGGCAATCAAAAGTGACCCTTGGCATGATATTTGCACTACTCCCCGGATCAATTAGCACTCTTCGTACTAAACACTCAGCCACTGTCAAACTGACAACCAAAGGGTCCTCATGAGGAATCTGAACTCGCAACAGGTCTGTCTTATCAAACCTTATCGGCGTTGTTGAGCTTTGTTGGTACAGAGTGTTGACACTACCTATTCGTCTCTTCATTTGTGCTTGTCGAATACGCGTTCGGGTTAATTCTTCGGACTCTTCGGCTCGTTCAGGTCGACCATGAATGGCATTTATAATCCGAACGGGCTGAGTGTTATAGTGATTCGGGTTTTGATTTTTTTTGACTTGCTCAATTGGTCGATTATGCTCTTGGGCTGGTCCTTGAACATACCCTGCAAACTCTCCCCTAGCGATCAGCATCTCCACTTATCTCCTTAAGTTCCTGCATTCATTAGTCTGATGACCAAAATCACTATGAAAAGCACAATGTTTAGATTGATCCCTCTGCTCAAGAGGTTGTCTAATTGGCAAGGGAGGGCGAAACTTATCTTTGTTCTCTTGGTATAGCCTTGCCAGTGTAACTTTGAGTGGAGTAATCAAGTCATCCTCCCTAGGTCTCTTCTCTGCCTTCCAGGAGGTCTGACGCTGCGTAGGAACTTGCTTCTACCGTATCTTTGCTTTGGACTTCTCTTCCGTGGAGATGATAGATGTTTTTTTAGCATTAACTGTTTCTTCTTCTTCCAGGCGTACGAAACCATCAGCTCTCTCATTCAGCTCGTCCATTGTCTTCGGCGTGTTCACCACCAGACTGGTATAGAACGGTGTCCCTCGGGTCATAGCTAACTTGAACGCCTGAATTGCTGTGGAAGGATGACACTCTATCACCATGCTCTTGGTTAGGTTAAACATGGTAAGAAAAGCTTGGAGATGCTCATCGTCATGCTGTTTCATGGTGAACAAGCTAGAGATATCTTTTGCCGGGCGCTTATTCCCATAATATTGGCTTATGAACCGATCACATAAGCTACGGAAGCTGTCCACTGAGCCCCTCGGCAGGTTCTTAAACCAGTTGAGCGCCGGTCTAGCTAAGCTTGTAAGAAAACAATTGCACATCAAATGATCATTCTTTGTGTTTAGTGCCATCTTCAACTGAATGTAATATACATGATCAATCGGATCGGTCATTCCATCAAACAGAATGAAAACAGGCATGGAGAACTTCATCGGGCTTGGAGTATTTAGGATCTCATCAGTAAACGGCGAATCAACCATCCGTGCTGCCGAACGGAGGGCCTCATTCTCTCTTTCAAACCTTGTGACAACTCTTTGATCTGTAGATCTTCTTTCCAAACTCCTATAATCATATGTGGCCATTGAAGGCCAATAAGGTCGATCGAACGACCTTTCCTCAGTAAACTCTTTCTGCCACGGCGAGTTAATCTTGTGACAATCAAACTCCATATCCTGTTTGCGGTTGTGCCTTTCCTGCTGCGAATTGAAAGTTGCACTTTCGTCCTGCCTGATATGCTCACGATGAGGATCAAGATGTACAGATCCTTCCCGATCCTCAACTCGACGAGCGTTTGGCGGTAAATTCTCCATCCTAACCTCCTCATGGTGGAGATTGACGTGGTTATCTCCTTCTTGCTCACCTTGATGTGTGTCATCAGGTCGCACGCCTCTTTCACCTATCGGAGGCAGTCGCGGCGCAACTGAAACCTCTCGGCGTTCCATTCTAGCTCTCAATTCTGCATTTTCTTTTCTCAGTGCCTCAATCATGTTCATCAGTTCATCAAGCTTCATCTGCTAGTTATTCTCCACTGGATTCAAACTCGCTTCTCTGATCATCATTCCAGATCGTAGCAAAGTCATCAACCGCGAATTTCTAATCAGATCTAAGTTTTGCCAATGCTGACGCTCTAGATCTGGATTCTAGTGCAGCTGAATTTTAATCGTGATTAACCAGATCTGAATTGTTCCGTCAACAAACTTGCCAAATTCAGCAATTTCAGCGACTCTCGACCGCACAGCTCTCCAAAACAAACACAAATTAGAACAGCATAGATCGAACGCCAATTTCTCCGGTCATAATTTCACCGATCTTAATTCCGCCTTCAACGATCAAGCTTCATCTTCAAGCACTATACCACTAGATCAAATCAATCTGAGTGAATCATCAATGAATTCTCATCGGTTCCCACAGACGGCGCCATTGAAGATGCAAAAAAATTTTTCTCTCTAAATTGACAGAGTTTCATTACACTTCAAAAAATTTCCATTTCCATCTCCTTCATTTTTCACCTATTTATAGATTGTTTACAATATTCTAGAAGATCCCTAACTAACTCCCTCCATTAGGCCCATCATCGAGGCTTTTGTATTCATCGATCCATTCGTCTTTCAGGCCTTCAACTTCACTCTTCAGCATTGAGCTTGTCTCATGACAGCTTGATTTGGGCCCAGGTCATTTACCTGGCCCATTCTTCATCATGTGGGTTAGGTCCGGGCCATGCCGTCTTTGGTATCCTCACCATCCTAACATGTCTCATGGATATATAAGCAGTTTTGAATGAATGTGTTTAGGACTATCTAATAGGTATTTTAAATTTATAATTGGAACAAATTTAATTAAAAATTCTAACTAAATTTCTGTCTATTTAAAATTCAAATCATCAATTCAGTGTTTCCAATCACACTGTTAACTCATTTTAAAAAATTAAGTTAATTTAATTAACAAAAATTATACAAGTAAATCAGTCCAAAGAAAAAGAAAAAAAAAAAAAAAAAATTAGCAAACCCTTGAAATAATTGGGAGTCAATTGCATGAAAAGACTTGACATGATATAGACCACAGTCTCCTTAGTCCTTACGATGCACTTTTATCCGTGACTACAGACAAAAAAAACTTTAATGCGAGTATTTAAGAAATGGTATCATTCATGGATTAAACACCAATTAATATATGGTGATAAATGTATTATTATTATTATATTTTTTGGTAAATGATAAATGTATTCTTATTTTTATGGAAAGATATAATAAGTTGATAATATTAATGAAATGGTATTGTGAGTCCAGGGAAGATTTTCTCTAGGGTATGAATGTGTTTATTTTATATTTTGCATTGCAGTTGGGGTATCGACTGTATGTGATATGATTCACGCGGTGTAACGAATTTAAATGAATATTGATATAAATAGGTCAAATCGGTCGGTTCATGAAGATATGTAATTGTATAGAACCCTTGAAAAATGATTATGTATCAGTTAATACAGCAAATTATGATTTATGTGAAAAGAATTTTAGAAAAAAATTAATATGCCAATATTCCTCATTAATTAACCTACTAGATTTGATCATATTTACTTATATAATAAGATGTTATTGATGACATAATACTCTCGGTGCAAGAAAGCTTAATATTGACCCTTAAACAGTAGTTATGCTACTCAAATTTGTAGTCTCAAACTTTAACAAGTGACATTTTTATACATATTCGGGGTTAATATATCATTCGACTAGTACCATAAATAATGATCGATTTTTTTACATGACGTACTTCAATAAATTATGTCTAACAAAGACTCTTGGTCAGAGAAAGATAAAAATCTCTCTTCTTTTGATATATTGATATTTATATCAATAATTGTTACATTAACCAGTAACAAAAATCCATTAGCATGTACTATCATTTTTCGAATTGTTAAGATAATACGGGGAAAAAAAAAATTCTGAAAAACAATTGCATCATATTAGTTGGGTGCTAGGGTTGGATTGATATTGTTTATTTACTGATATACCATTTGTCATGAGCATGTATAGATTACACAATTCAAGGACCACTCACAATCGTGTAGAGTATTATTCATCATTTAGAGTTTTATTGAGGGTTAGCATTGAAGGTATTGAAGGTTACATTGCCCTCAAACGTAAGATAGATATATAGATATATATATCTCAATAAATATATAGAGATAGATACTACTAAAAATTGCACCTAAGTTTGCATGGGGTGACTTAGCAAAGGTTTGGCCACATATAGATACCCTCAGCGTTTATAACTCCTAACATATGATAGAGATCGAGAAAGTTTGGGGCGCAGCACAATCCTGGTGATTCCTTCCAAAGTGTTTAACAGCCACTAAACTTGTGGACACAACCTTTTTTTTTTTTTTTTTTTCCTTTCGGTTTTTTTTTAGGTAAATTTGTGGACACAAGTTCATGTGTACAACTAACTAACTGAGGCTTTCTTAATTTCTGTTTGAATTGAGTTGTTTTTGTTCCTTTCATGGTCACCTATGATATAGGTCAAGTACTGAAGGAGATAAAGAACTCTAGACTCCCCTGATGTTAGCCTGATGTTAGAACTTATAAGTAAGCCTAATGGACCAAAAAATATCACCCTAACACCAAATAAATTTACTTAATTAATTAATTATTGCAACCTACCATTGTGAAATGACAAAATTAATCCTATGGTTCATGAAAAAGAAATTCAATACTCCCTAATTTAATTACTACTATATTGTGGCGAAGAATTGAACAAGAAGTGGTGATATATATGAAGGGGTGGAGAGAAAAAAGAATAGTCGTGCTAAGGAAGAACAAAGAGAAAGAAAGAGATCAATGGAGGTTGGATGGGAGAGATGAAGGACATGAGAATATGACATTAAGAGAGGGAAGATGGAATCTTTCGATTATTATTATTATTATTTGTTGGAATTTTTGTAGAATTTCATTGGTCGAATGATATAATTGTGGTGGTCAATTGTATGGCTGTGTGAATGGCTTAAGGCGCATGGGAAGGGTTTGATGAGGCAATACGCAAACTTTAAGGAAAGTAATTCATAATGAATGAATTGCTTTGTGCCAGCGACAAGTAAGGTATCCAAAGGCGGCTACTTTCGCCTATAAATTAGACATAACATGCATGCTGAGGTAGATCCCGGTGTGATCCTATGGGGAGATCATACGGTGATCCCACTGAGATCCTTTAGAGATCCTAGAGAGATATTCTGATCAAGAGAGGGTAGAACCATAATAAGTTGTTTTGGATTTTTGTGTGAAGAAATCATTTTGTGTGTACAATCTTCAAGAGAGATATTTGAAATTTGTCTTTGAGTGGGTTTTCTTTTTTATGTAAACCATTTAATTATTGGGGGTTTTTTCTTGAGAGCGTTCGGTGAGCTTTTCTTCATTTGGCGGGTGACGTTTGACTGTGAGAAGAGGAATTATTGCCTGGAAGAACCAAAACGTTCTTCAATTTGTAATCTTCTTCTATATAGTGATACAGATCATCATCGCTTATGGACGTAACCCTATTTGTGACAGTAAACTACATATAAATCTTGTCTTATGGTGTATTTCTTTTCATCTTCATTCATATCTTTCTGTTATTAGGATTTGCCATCATTATATGTATATTTGTTTGGGTCGCTGCTGCCCAACAAATTAGTATCAAAACTTCTGTTGTGCCCAACAAGCTGGTGTCAAAGCTTCCGTTGTGCCCAACACTATTATTATTATTATAGTTTGTTCAATATTTTCTTAAGTGTCAACTTTGAACTACTGATTTAAAAAAAAAAAAAAAAAATAAAAATAAAAATAAAAATAAACAAAGAAAAAAAAAATTTGAACTACCTTTCAAGATGTTAAGGAAATATATATAACCCTTTGGCCTAATACATTCTAGTGCATTTTGTGGGAAGGGTTGCAATAGTTTTAGGTGCTTGATCACTTGCAAGATTATATTCTACAAAATTTTGGTGAAAAATAAAAGTATACAACATGCAAAATTTAAAATCTGATGTAAAATGTTTTACATAACAAAATGGAGCTTAATTTACATAATGTTGATTGAGACATTCACGGAAGAAATGTTGTTTTCTTCTTTTTCTTCAACCTCACTTTTGGAGAGATGAGTTCATTGATACCACCCAGGACAAAGAACTAAAATGAAAATGTAACAACGAATAAGGAATAAAGCAATCACACAACAAACACTAGATTTATGTGATTCACACAAAACTAGATGAGAACTGAGAAAAGATTCACTATATCAATGAAGAGATATTACAATAGTAGAAAATTTCTAACATCAGATCTTGCACACAAACTCTTGATCGACTTCCTTGGTTATTAGTGCTCGATCACTCCGCCCCACTTTAACTCACCTTTTAGTTAAAATGTGTTATTAGATAGACATGGGAAGAGTTATCGGATGAAGTTTTTAGGTTGACATTTTTATTTGACCATATGAGGAAGGAAGAAAATTGAATCCACCCAACGACCCCCGGGTACATTAAAGACTTATTTTGTTGGTAAAGACAGAAGGTGAGATAATGTTAATTATAAAGAAAGTCTTATAATTTAAATTTTTTAATAAAAGCTTTGCATTTTTTTCTTTACATTCCTTCCAAATTTGGAGGGATGGAAATTTGTGAAAAGAAGAAAGAATGACTCATCAATTCTCTTTTCTTTTCTCTCCTTATCTACTCTCTACCAAACCAAAAAAAAATTATTTCTACCAAACATTAATTTTTACATAACAAATAAAACAAAAAATAATTTGAATTTCACTTATTATAATATTCCCTCTTTCTCAAAATACTCACTTTGAGCCACAGTTCACGAAGTAGATAACTATTTTGAGATAAAGGGAGTATATATATGGAAATATGAATATTGGATGGACCTACATTAATTAGCTCCATTTCCTTTTACAGCAACCGACAAATTAATTGTTGTGAAATTAAACCAAAAACATGAAAAATAGATCAAACACACACAACAACAACATATTAATTTTACTTGGTTCACCCAAAAATCAGGACTACGAAGGTTGTAGGAATTTTATTATGATAATAAAAAACAGCAGCGAATACAAAGATTTCAGAATGAATATATATTCTCACACTAAGACAACATAATAAGTGTTAAAAATACTAAACTACCCTCCAAAAAAATTGATTGATCTTAATATATAGTATTTATGGAGCCCCAAACTACCCATCACAAATTTCGTAACCAAATTGCTAAAAGGGATTGCTTTAAGTACGTTTTGTATCATCACCAAGAAGTAATCGAAATACAGGAAACGGATTGTGCATTCATGATCTTATCATGGCAATGACAGTGTCTTAAACCGATTCTCTAATGATATATACATAATATAGTACTATATATATATATATATATATATATATATATATATATATATATATATATATTTAATGGTGTGCGTAGAATGAGATTTTGAGAAAAGACCGTTCAAGAATCATGAATTTTGAAGAAGTTGTGAAACTTGTTGTGGATGTGGTCTAGCCACGTCACCAAAGGCCAAGTCAAACAATCAACACTTTGACAAAGTCCACCTCAGCAAGGCATGTGATAGTCGATCATTGGGCCTCAATCTTAGTCTACATTCGGCCGATGGGCCTTGAATCTGATAGTCACAAATCACAACCTCGATCTGAGTTGTTGTCGATCGATGGGCCTTGAACCTTAATCTGACCTTTTGACAATCTGTCGGTCGATGGGCCTTGAACCTCGATCTATTAATCACAAATCATCGATCAACAGGCCTTGAACCTTGATCCATCACAAATTGTCGATCGACGGGCCTTGAACCTCCATCTGACCCTTGACGATCTGTTGATCGACGGGCCTTGAACCTCGATCCGACCGTCATAATCTGTCGATCGACGGGCCTTGAACCTCGATCTGACGCCAATATGTCGATTGACGGGCCTTGAACCTCGATCTGACCTTCACAATCTGTCGATCGACGGGTCTCGAACCTCGATCCGACTCTCACAATTTGTAAATCGACGGGCCTTGAACCTCTATCTGACACTGCCATGAACCATCGATCGGTGGGCGTCGAACCTCGATCCAAGCAACGAAGAGTTATGGTAGGGCTCTTCAAGCAACATTAGGACGTAGAAGGGATTTTGGAATGGAGGATGGAAAATTAGTAATGTCTTGTCCACTAAGGCAAGACCCAGTCTAAGGATAAGAGCAAAAGACAGCTGGAATAGTACAATTGCCTTTACAGCTTGCCATTTTTTGGATTATTCACCGGGAAAGGTACATTTGGCAGTGGATCCAAAAATGTAGGGATTAGGGCAACATGACCCAAGAAGGGAATGACCCTGACCCATTCCCAACATGGAGGCCCAACAATGTACCACCTGGATGACCTAAGGCTATAAAAAGAAGGCAATGACGAAAAAATGAGGCAGGAACTGATGGCAACTTCTTCCCTACTATTGCTCTAATTCTCTAACTGGACTGGTTTTTTCTTCCTTCTTCTACCTTTTTGCATTCCTCATATTACTTTGTGATATATTCCCATACCTCTTTTCATTGACTATTCAACCGACGAGAACCAGGTATCTACATTTGGCGACTTCACTGGGGATTATCCGGGCAAAATGATGAATCCAAATGAGATTTCTCCTTCGGCACAGGCAGAGGTGTCCGCAGTTGGAGCCACTGGCGTCAAGGTTGTCACTACCAAATCTGCTAGCCACCGAGCCACAAGTGCCAAAGCCACCAGCGCCAGAGACAATAGCACTAGGGCTACTAGCACAAGGTCTCACTCTTCAAAATCCAGACACATATCTAGCACCGATGCTGTCTTGGAGGCTATGCAGAACATAAATCACTAACTGATGACCCGAATGGAGAAGTTTGAGGAAGCTCTCCGTGTTCTTGACAGGAGGGTCTCGGCGACGCAGATTATAGTTCCAACGGAGCTCCCTTCAGCTACTCAGATGGTGTTCGGTACCAGTACCCCAACTGGTGTGACTTTGCCTCTATTACATGAGCAACAACTCACGAAGTCCCCAAAAGGTCTAGATCGTAGTGCAGATCTGTCACAGCCCATTCCAGAGCTTTATAACCCTGAATTACAGGTAACCCCTATGGCTCTTCGAGTATTCCTGCCTCAAGGCAAAGAGCCCATGTTTTGTTCCCCACCCACTTATGCCCAGGCGAACCCTAAGGCACACCGTCCTCTCCCCTCATATTCCTACTCCGCCTCAAAAGAAGTGTTCACACTTTCTGAAGTGCGCGATCTTTTCAAGAAAGGCACCCCAACTTCTCGTGCCTTAGACTTTGGCAGTAAGCCTCCTTACCCTCTTGCTATTGCACAGACTCCATATCCGCAGGGATACTTGGTCCCCAAATTCCTCTAGTTCAATGGCAAAACCGGTGATCCTAGGGAACATGTCATGCGCTTTGTTGAGGCTTTGGGTCATTTCGGTGATAATCATGTGGTTCATTTACGCGAGTTCTCTAAATCTCTAACTGATCGAGTTTACTGTTGGTATTTCAATCTCGAACCAGACTCCATCAGTACCTGGGAGCAACTGAAAGATCGCTTCGTCACCAAGTTTTTCCAGGCTGAAGAACGGGTCACCACCTTGTCTCTCACAAAGGAGGCTCAAGAGGACAATGAGGACATTCTCGCCTTTATCAATCAGTTCAGAGACCGCGCCGGCGAATGCTTTGAAAACAGTAATGAAATGGACTTGGTTGATATTTACATCCAGGGCATGCTACAAATTTACAAGCTCCACCTTGTCAACCTAAGGATAGCTAGCTTTGGCGAGCTCAAGATTGCAGCCCAGATTCTCAAGGATCTCAAGCCAATTGCCGCTAAGTATGAGCCTCTAAAATATGATGCCCCAAAGTTTGAAGCTCCAAAACCTTCCAGTCGCAGGCCCGCACCTGCAGCGACCATTGAGGAACGCCCCCGAAAGTGGTTTAACAAATCCCAATTCAAGCCACAAGGCGAGGAACCACCACCTTTCCCCATCCGTATTGAGGAAGTTAAGAATACACTCACCCAATGGGTCAAGGATGTCAACGTTGTTCTACCTACCCCACGTCACGAGCCCACCCCGGCAGATCGAGCTAACGCTGATTTCTGTGTTTACCATCAAAGTGTTACTTATCCCACTATTAATTGCTGGGGCTTGCGCCGCCTCTTGCAATGGCGAATGGCAACTGGTGATCTTGAAGTCACCCTTCCAAAGGATGTTCGTCAGTTCCCGTACCCCGATCATCGTGTGGCTGTTATCACCTGCTATGATGAACTTGCAGAAACAAATTCAGGCCATGAGACAGATCCTTCTTCAGAGGTGGATATGTGTCCTTTGGTCGCCTCTGTTAAACCCAACTCTCCTGCACTAAAGAAAACTTTATCCTTTTCTGATGCTGACAAACAGAGCCAAGGCGCCCAAAATCGACCATTGTATGTGCTGGCTTCTATCAAGGGAGTAAAATTCAAGCGCGCTTTTCTTGACAATGGTTCTTCCATCAATGTCATGCCCCTCTCCACCTTTCGCATGGCTGTCATCTCTGAGGATCGTCTGATCAAAGAGCCAATCGAAGTCACAGGATTTGGCAATAATCTTCGTCGCACGATGGGCTATGTTAATGTTAATCTAGCTGTTAACAAATTCCAAGCCTCCACGAAGTTCCACGTTATTGACAGTGACACTTCTTATCACATCCTTCTAGGACGCGCATGGATGCACCGCTTTGGTATTGTTCCTTTCACTTACCATCAATGTTTCAAAGGTATCTGGAATAACAAAGTTATCACTGTCCCCTGTTCAGATTGCCCTTTTGCCACCTTTGAGGCTCATTACACGGATGCGTTATTCTTCAATGACCTTGATGACTGCGCGTAAAACTGCGATACAACCATTATCAGTACTCCTCTACCCACCTGGGCTGACGCCCAAAAGGGCATTTTTCACCTACCCTCTCCTGTTCAGACAGACGATTCCCCACATGAATGTAAACACGTTCGTCTCCCCAACTGTCGTGTCATCTACCGTTTATGATGGTGTCCAGGGTCAACAGAGGTTCACTCTACTGACTCCCCAGCATATCAGCCTTGAATTCTCAAGAAAGCACCACTGCCAGATCTCGTTGAAGTTAATTTAGCGCATCCCAATTAGCCGCCTCGCATCACGTTCCTCTCGGGTACACTCAGTTCTCAAGATAGATCTCACCTTGTCTCTCTCTTGCAGGAATTTCGCGATGTATTTGCATGGACATACAGTGAGATGCCAGGGCTTCACCCTTCACTGGTCTCCCATCATCTCAACGTTTTGCCCAACGTTCGCCCAGTTAAACAAGGCTCGCGAACCTTCCGGCCAGAGCTTGAGTTGCAAATTAATGACGAGGTCCAAAAGTTATTAGCAGCCGGCTTCATCAAGCCTATCATCCATCCCACATGGTTAGCCAACATCGTTCCTATGCAGAAGAAGAGTGGCCAACTCAGGGTGTGCGTTGATTTCAGGGATTTCAACAAGGCTTGCCCAAAGGATGACTTCCCTTTGCCCATTATTGATACTCTGGTCGATGGCACTGCAGGCCATGAAATGTTCTCTTTCATGGATGGTTTTAATAGTTACAATCAGATCTGGATGGCCGAGGGTGATGCAGAAAAGACAGCCTTTCGGACGCCTCTTGGTAATTTCCACTTCACTATCATGCCTTTCGGTTTGAAAAATGCAGGTGCCACATATCAATGAGCCATGACAGCTATTTTCCATGATCTACTCTATCACAATCTCGAAGATTATGTGGACGATTTGGTGGTCAAGTCTAAACAGAAAGCCAATCATCTCCATGACTTACGCCAAGTGTTCGAGCGTTGCCGCCAATATAATCTCAAAATGATCCCCTCAAATGTGCCTTTGGCGTCAACCATGGCAAGTTCTTGGGTTTTATGGTCACTCTCCAGGGTATTAAGGTCGATCCAGCAAAAGCTAAAGCAATTCTTGACATGCCATCTCCAATGACTTCTAAGCAGCTAAAGAGCTTTCTAGGCAAAGTTTCTTACCTCCGTCGATTCCTACCAGCCCTCGCAGAGGCCACACACGCTTTTAGTACCCTTGTCAAGGGAAAAGCGAAGTTCTCATGGATGGATATTCATCAGGCCGCCTTCGAACTGATTAAACACGTGCTATTGTCCCCGTAGATCATGCATGCTCCACAAAAGACCAACCCCTCTTCCTGTATGTTACTTCTACACCTCGATCCATTGGGGCACTGCTCGTACAGGAGATCGATAATCAAGAATGCCTGGTCTATTACATTAGTCATTTGATCCATGACGCTGAAGAATGGTATTCCCTTATTAAAAAACATTGCCTTGCCTTGGTATTTGCCGCGCACAAATTCCAGCACTATTTCCTCGCCCATCGAATCATTCTCATCACTAAATGCGATCCCTATAGGCACCTCCTCTCCAAACATATGCTTACAAGCAAGGCCGCACGATGGCTTCTCTCCTGAGCAGAATTTGACATCACCTGCCAACAGCCGAAGGCCATTAAAAGTCAAGCTCTCGCGGATTTGCTCGCTCAATTCCCCAACGCAGCTCATGAGCCCGTGGATGAATAGTTACCTCTCGATGACCTACAGGTTGCCTCTCTCGAGCAAGCTCAAGAATGGCACTTATCTTTTGACAGTTCTTCCACCACAAAGGGCGGAGGCGTGGGCATTGTGCTCTCCTGCCCCACCCTTACCTCTACCGCTGCTGTCAAACTTGACTTCAAGTGCACTAACAACGAAGCTAAATATGAAGCACTCATCCTGGGGCTATTAACAGCACTCGATAAACAGGTCTCCCGGTTATATATGGATGGTGACTCAAAGTTGATTATCAAACAGACTTCAGGTGAATTTGATATTCGAGATCCCTCTTTGGCCTCGTTTCACATAATAATTCAAAAGCTTCTCTCTCGATTCACCGCCGTTCACTTGGCTCATGTCTCTCGATCTGTCAATCGATATCCCGATGCTCTTGCTATGCTCGCCTCCAAACTTGACATCTCTGGCCCCACACAACAAATCACTATTCATAAACAAACACAGCTTGCCATCGCCAGTTTGCTCCCTCTTGAAGATATCACTGATTGGCCGCCCAATCATCTATTAAATGCAGACCTTCACCAGTTCATTACCCCTTACTCAGCTCAAATGCTTTCATTTGATCCAAAAAGTTCTTTATCATCGATCCCCCTCTGGCATCCTCAGTCGTTGTCTCGGGGATACCGAGGCTAGTGAAGTTCTTCACCGTGTTCATCATTAACATTGCGCCACTACTGATATCGCTCTTTACCGACGGCTCCAGCACCAAGGCTATTACTGGTCTCAAATGTCCAGTCAGGCTGCCGCGTTGCAGCGCGCATGTATTGCTTGCCAGAAATGCCTTGATGCAACTGAGGTCCTCGAGCTCGAGTTAGCTGATTGGCGGACCCCCTTCATTCGTTACCTCTAACATGGTCATCACCCAGACAATCCAACCTTGGCCGCCAAGCTCAAGCACCAAACGCCACGCTTCTAAGTTTGCGATGGTCGTTTGTTCCGCCTCTCTCGAGAAAGGGCACCTCCTACGATGCCTTGCTGGCGCTGAGATCCGTGAAGTACTTCATCAAGCTCACTCCCTCGAGCATCAGGGTACCTATAAATTATTTCAACACTTGATCCACAAGGGGCTCTACTGGCCAACTATGGAGCACGATACTAAGATGTTTGTTCAATAATGTTTACCATGTTAATATCATCACTATCGGATTCATACTCCCCCAACAGTACTTCATCCACTTGCCACCCCTTGGCCTTCCACACTTGGGGTCTGGACCTCATTGGCCCAATCAATCCTATAGTTCGTCAAATGCATTGGATCCTCATAGCTACAGATTTCTTTTCCAAGTGGGTTGAAGCCATCCCCTTGCGCCATGCCACAGGCGTCGCTGTTGCAGCCTTTATTCGTGAAAATATTATTTGCCGGTCCGGCATCCCAGCAATCATCCTCTCAGACAATAGTACACCCTTTGTTAATTATCGGGTTGCTCAGCTTCTTCAGCAATATAACATCACCCACGCCGATCTTCTGCTTACTATCCCAAAGGCAACGGCCAAGCTAAAGCAACCAACAAATCTCTCCTTAAAATCATCAGTCGCACGGTTGCCAAGCACAAGTCTAATTGGGTCGATCAGCTGCCCTTAGCTCTTTGGGCACATCGCACCTCCAAAAAGCGCGCAACAGGCCAAACTCCTTTTTCTCTCCTATATGGCACAGAAGTTATTCTCCCAGTCGAGATTGTTATTCCTGCTACTGCTTTGGCAGCTCGAAGCGAGGTCGACCACTTCACTCATCTTGAGGCCTTAGATGAACGACGGGAGTTAGCACGCTAACATCTCAAGGTCTACCAACATACCTTGGCAAAATCTTATAACAAGCATGTACGACCTCGTACCTTCCAAGTCGGTGACCTTGTTCTTAAAGCTACCAAACACATTATGCACAACACCTCTGCCCCAAAGTTCACGCCTAAATGGGAAGGGCCCTATGTTGTCATTGAGGTCCAACCCAGTGGTTACTGCAGACTGCAGGGTGATGGGCGCAAGGCTGAACCCATAAATTCCAGTTGGTTAAAGCTTTACCACAGTTAATTCTTTTGTACTTTGCGTTAGTCCTATATCAGAAATAATATATGCAAGTTTATTATCATACCATTTCTATAATTACTCAACTTTCATTCATTAACAAAAGCTAGTACATAATGGACCTGCTGGTCATTAATCTACAATCACTAGACTACTCATAACTTAGCAGAATGGTTACATCGCCACCAAGCTCGTTGTATGTCTCTTATACCAGAGCCCGCTGTTGTTCTGCCATCGACAGGCGAGCCTGAATCTCCTCCATCATACGCCTGTCTCACGCAATTCAGGCATCTAACTCTGCCATCTCCTTTGCCAAGAGAGCCTGCCCCACCACTTGCTCGCAAGCGTCAAGTCTCGTGTTCAGCCATTTTATTTCCACTCGGTCCTTGAGCAACTCAATTAGCTCGCGGGCCTCTTGCACTACTTCGTCTGACCCCTCCCCTCGTGCCACACTTGCAAATATTTTGAGTACTTGCCCCAAGACATCGTACCCAAAGCGATGGAACATCGGATGTCTCCTTCCGATCGCCTCCACCGTCGCTGGTTACGCTCGATTCGCCGCCTCTAGCAAAGGGATGAAGTGCATCCCGATCAGCACTCCTAGCCAGGCTGTCTCCTCTATCGCAGCCATGGCATGATCCACCTCATTCTGTTGCCTCTTTTCGACTGGGGGCACTCTACCTATCCCACTATTTTTGCCAGTTTCAGTTTCCTCGCCCGACACTCGCCTATTTAAGGTACTGTTTGAGCCTTCCAGGGAAGACTGCGATTGCAGCACTTCCACCTCGTAAGGGCCCATCTGTATCTCTGCTTCCATATCTTTAAACCTCACGGTGTCTCCTGAGGCCTGCTCTTCCTCTGCTACCTCTTCTTCCTCCTTCGCATTGGATGCCCCCTCACCCGGGTATTCTAATAGCAGTGGGGGCATCAACGATTTTGGTATCGAGGGCTTCTCCACTCGTGGCATACGCAAGATGGTTATCGGCGTTTTCTTCACAATCTCCGGCCGACGTCTTGCAACCCACAAATGATATTAATTGTAATTCAAAACATTGTAAATGGAACAATCACTTTCACTACTTACCCATCGTTATCCGGATCGGAGGCAAAGAACTCTCAGCTGTCATCAATCGCCTGACGATCTCTCTTTTCGAGCCCTCGGCGGCTAGCGCTACCCCGACACCTCTACTAAACTTTTTGCCCGCGCTCGATGCCTCCGCCGTCTTCCCCTTTCTACCCTCGGCGAGGCATCATCACTACTGAGCTCCACCACTTCTTTTGTCTCCCCAACTGACTCTTCATCCTCTGACACTTGGATTGCTGAAGCTTTCCGTTTTTACCATCTCCGGTCAGCGATCGGCTCTTCACTGACCACTTTCTTAGACTGGGCCTCCGTCGATGCCCTTCTATCTGCTCTTGGCTAGACGGATGCAACGGATATATATGCCTCGGGCACAGCATCATACGCTACATCGCCCATTTTTGCATCCAAAGGAGCCATTATCGATCTATGGCCTCGCACTCCTGGCCTAGGCATGCGCAGGGACACATCATCCTTGTATATGGGCATGGGAGCAAAAGGACGAGGAGTCTGTAGGCAAAACCTCCTGAAGGCACCCACGCAATCTGCCCAAAATTACCTATATTTTCCTATTATATCTCTATGGCGATTTTGCGAAGGAATCACGATACTGCCATTTTCTTCCTCGGATAGGTCGTATAGTACACTATATCGGAATAAGACTTCGTCAAATTCATCGTATCTTTCTTCCAAGCCACAATCGTTTGGAACCCCTTGATCATAGCCAAATTGCCTGGGTACCCATCGTGGGTTGTACACTTTGCTCACATCGCCCAACTCAACTCGCCCGGGCAAATGTCCTGGCAGCACCACCAAGGCAAAAGTTTGCTCATCTGCATCCCCCGTTTCTTACTTTGGTGTGATCACTCTCGAATCTTCCCAATAGATCCCCATGTCCACCACCCCTGTTATCTCCTCTTGATAGGGCCTGAACACAAACTCTCGTTCGGAGTCTATCACTTCCCCAAGTGCTCGCCTGCACATCTGCCCTGACCAACGTCTTCCTCGTGCCCCATGGTCGCTTAATTCCAAGGGTAAAGGGCCATACGCGGGGAATCTCTCGTACAAAAACATCTGTAAAAAACTATTGGCTACATAGACACCATGGGGTAGCGGCCAATCGAGGGCGTGATATCCTCAACAATCATGTCCAATCGATGGTACAGTGTTCCTAAGAATAACGGCCCCAGTGGGATCGCAATCCCACTTGCTATCTTCACCGCTATTAGACACCATCAACTCAAATGTGTATCGTCCGGGGTCCCTGGGAATAAATACTTGGACAACCAGCACAGTACATATGCTGCGAGCTCTGTAGGATGTCCAATCTTGTCTCCATCAACAAAGGGACGCTCGGATTTGTCCCCTTTGAAGGAAGGCTGCAGGTCCTTGAACCAGTAGCGTATCCAGGCGCCTGTTGTACATTTTTTGGCTCCTTCAGCTCTCTCTTCGCGCCTAGCCCCCTTCGCATTAAAAAAGGACCCATAACTCTTGGTCTTCTCCAACCCTTCCTCTAATGTAGTTATGATACCCTTCTCCGCTTCATCCATCGTTAGGGGTATTGTATATCCTCTACCCATGACATGCAGGCCTAGTAATTGGGCCACGCCTTCCAATGTAGGCATAAATTCTCCCCATTTTACCATAAACGTGTGGGTTGCACTACACCATCTCGACATTAGCAATTCTAATCCTGGGGTATCGCGCGGCACTTTCAATTTGCGGGACAGACGCATGGCTCGCACAACTCGTGCTTGTCGCAGCCATAGCATATACATTTTGTGGCTGAAGATGTGCTGAGACCACTCCTCCTATCCTGTACATGGGCCCACTGGCATTTTAAACTCCATAAAACAAAAGGGATACATCCCTTGTTCAATGGCAAATCGGTGCACAGAGTCTGCCGGTGGATGAGCTCCTGCTTCCACGGCGACTTCTCCTTCCATTAACTGGGCCACATCACTATCAATCTTATCACTGGCTATGTCTCCTGTAGCTGTCCAGAACCTATCCATGGGCCCAAAGAACGGAGCCCTCTTCTATTCTTCCTTCGACGGTACTTCCGGCACTAATTCACCGAGTTTGCTCAACTGTTTTCTCTTTGTCATTTTATCAAATATCTTACCCGCTTTTACACAGTAATAGCTTTGTTGCCCTCACACACTCATTTGTTTAACACAATACGCTCACTTCATTTTGCTTCTTAGCCTGGCACGGTCGTTCCTTTTTTCTCTTTCTTTCTGTAATGGCTTCCTCTCTCTCCGCCCTGGTTCTATATATATAGATCACGGTTAGAGTTTTGGAGAAGACGAAGACACCGAACAGTTGTGTCTCATCACCTCCTTATTAAATAGGTAACTGACAGCAGCCGAAAAGACTTCAGTTTCCAAGGCAAGACATTATTATGTTTTCTATGCACGCGCCGCTTTATCCTTTTATTTTAAAATTCAAAAACGCCACGTGCAGGGGGACTAAATGTGGATGTGGTCTAGCCACGTCACCAAGGGCCAAGTCAAACAGTCAACACTTTGACAAAGTCCACCTCAGCAAGGTATGTGATAGTCGATTATTGGGCCTCAATCTTAATCTACATTCGGCCGATGGACCTTGAATCTGATAGTCACAAATCACAACCTCGATCCGAGTTGTTGTCGATCGACGGGCCTTGAACCTCGATCTGACCTTTTGACAATCTGTCGGTTGATGGGCCTTGAACCTCGATCTGTTAATCACAAATCATCGATCAACGGGCCTTGAACCTTGATCCGTCACAAATTGTCGATCGACGGGCCTTGAACCTCGATCTGACCCTTGACGATCTGTCGATCGACGGGCCTTGAACCTCAATCCGACCTTCCTAATCTGTCGATCGACGGGCCTTGAACCTCGATCTGAAGTCAATATGTTGATTGACGGGCCTTGAACCTCGATCTGACCTTCACAATCTGTCGATCGATGGGCCTCGATCCGACTTTCACAATTTATAGATCGACGGGCCTTAAACCTCGATCTGACACTGCCATGAACCATCGATCGGTGGGCGTCGAATCTCGATCCAAGCAACGAAGAATTATGGTAGGGCTCTTCAAGCGAAATTAGGACGCAGAAGGGATTTTGGAATGGATGATGGAAAATTAGTAATGTCTTGTCCACTAAGGCAAGACCCAGTCTAAGAATAAGAGCAAAAGACAGCTGGAATAGTACAATTGCTTTTACAGCCTGCTATTTTTTGGATTATTCACCGGGAAAGGTACACTTGGCAGGGGATCCAAAAATGTAGGGATTAGGGCAACATGACCCAAAAAGGGAATGACCCTGACCCATTCCCAACATAGAGGCCCAACAATGTATCCCCTGGATGACCTAAGGCTATAAAAAGAAGGCAATGACGAAAAAAGGAGGCAGGAACTGACGGTAGCTTCTTCCTTACCATTGCTCCAATTCTCTGACTGGACTGGTTTTCTCTCCCTTCTTCCATCTTTCTGCATTCCTCATATTGCTTTGTGATATATTCCCAGACCTCTTTTCTTTGACTATTCAACCGACGAGAACCAGGTATCTACACTTGTTATACAACACCACAAAGCAGCTCTAGGGACCCACCACAGCTATGTGAGATACGGTCGGGATTCATCTCTTTCGAAAATTTTCATTGGAGAAATACAATTAAAGTATGGAGTGGACTAAACTTTGCGACCAACATTTACTACAAATAAATACAATAAATTAATAACTAAAATTGGTAGGCATTTTCCATTTGTTCAATCCACCACTCGGCACTCACCAGACTATATTGGTCTGCCAACATGAATCTGTGTCACCATGCTATTTGTCCGGGATCATTCATGTATTACCTCAGCTCCATATTAAAAGTTCACTTCAAAAAAGGAACTATTTCCGAAGTGGACTTTTAATATGTAAGGGATAGAGGAATAATTTTGTGTACACTTAGAAAGTTGAAAATTGAAACCAACACCCTGCATCCCTGCTTAAGATACACAAGTTTTGCATCGCGAGGATGAAAAACCATCAAACGACAACAATTACCGATGCCCAACTTCTTCAGACTCACTTCTTCCTTCAACACCCATTCACTACTTGGTATGATGTGAGATAAGCTATAACTAGAAAGCTTCTTCTTGAGCTCCAACACTTTGATCATCGATTTTTCTTTTACGTTTACGGCAAACCGAAGAAGACAACCATCCCGTGACGACGACTGTCCCAAGACATATTCCACAGAGAATCCCCTTCCCTTTTTGAGACAAGGAGGAGGGAACTCTATCAGCCAGAGACGATTTTCCCCCATGTTGGGATCATAAGCAGCCAAATGACCACTACTAACTTTCCAGTACAAGATCCCACCTACTGAACGACATACGCAGGACTCGTCAAGATCATCTGAAAATTCAGATGGAAAAGTGATAAATGATTCGCTCCATTCGCCTGTCCGAGAAGAGAGAGTTTCTAAATGTAATCCGTCATATGTGGCTCCCACCCTCTTTTCTATAATAGCTAGAGTTAGTTTGAAATGCACTACACCATCACCATCTTTGCTGCTACATTCCCCACAAGAGAAAACCTCTGAGGATGGAGCATGTCTTGGTTCAGGAAGAGTTAACCATTGGTCTGTAACCGGATTACAGACGTAGAATTTCAAAACCATGTTGCCTTTTGAACGCCATAGTATTAAGCCTTCGGGAGAAACACTTTCTAATAAATAGTCTTCACACAAATCCAAACTTGTAAATTTCTTTTCCTTATAATTTTGTAGGAATGAAAATTTAAATGTAATTTCTGCAGAACAAGAAACCCGAAAGAATCCCAACAATGGGAGAAGAGAATTCTTTCTTTGAGAAAGGTAATTGCTGCAGAAAAGAGGATGAGAGATCAAACTGTTCCATGTCTTCGATACACACTTAAACTTGCAGACGGCATCTAGAGGCAATCGAAGCAAAATCTCATTTACAAGTTCATCGCTGTGTGACACAGCTTCCACACTGCTAAACCTTCTGCGGCAACTCTTCATTATCCTGGAAATTAAGGAGAGAGATACAAAAGGAGATCAATAAACAATGAAATAGAAATAGAAATCAAACATTAAAAAAAAGAAGATGATTAGACAGACATAAAAATTCTGAATAAGAATAACAAAATAAAGTAATGGTAACAAATAGAAAAACTAAATAAAGTAATTGTAACAATTAATTGTTAATTGCTACTACTGTTTCGAATTGGTCATCTATTCAATAAATAAATAAATGGAACACTCTATTCAAACTAATTAAAAATAACTTTGTTAAACAATTCAAGTATTCAGTGTGATGTGAGTACCATTACTCTTCTTTATAATATTAATGCACAAAAATGGTCATTTTTTCAAGGAAAATGATATTGACAGATTTGTTAGACCAATGCCTACATGGCTAGCCACGTCATGATTTCGAAAGCCTTCCACCCACGTCTAGTTTTCTATCTCCTCAGTCTCTCGCTCATCTTCACCCTGGTATAACTTATGTTGCGGCTCTCTCACACTCTTATGGTGGAACCCTTCCATCTCCTGGCCATCTGTTTCCCAAAATCGTAAACCAATCTCTCAACCAACACTCCTGATCTCCCCGAAATCGTAAACCAATCTCCGGCCATCCGTTTTGCACTTCAATATGGAGTCTCCAACAGCACCTTTAGGCCCTGATTGTGTCTACTTCGCTGGCGATGGGTACTACAAAGGCGAGCAGAAGCCAGAGAACTGCCGTCAGCGTCGATCAAAACGGCGTAATCGGCACCACCATCCCCAACCCCCCAGTCTGCAGCAGAAATAGATGGAGAGAAAAAAAAAATGAACATTCTCTCTCTCTCAACCACAAGCAACCACCACAGGAGGACCACCATCTGGTCCATCCCCATTCGCACCACCATTCGGTGTTGATCGACCTTCAACATCTATAGACGCCGACAAGTGCACAGAACCTCAGGCGACTGATTTTCGGTAATCAAACGAAAACCAAATTGGAAGCTTCAGTGATAACCCAACTGAATTGAAGGCTCCATTAGCAATGAGCTTAAACGATCCACGCTGACTAGTTTGTTCTTGGTGGGAATCGGCGACGTCGTTGTCGACGGAGGAGAGAACGTCAGATGATTTGGAGGAAGAAGACGCGTGAAATACCGTGAGAACGCGGGCGCCGGATTGAAATGAAGACAAGCTCCCAAACCACGAGTTCAGTCCGTGCCGGTAGAATGATGATGAAGAGGACGTCGAGATTTGGTGTCGGTGATGGCAGGTCTTCGTAATCAGTTTGTTCCAAGGTGAGAAGTTGAATAGATGACGTGTGATGATGTTGATGCCAAATAAGATTAATTGTTTGTCAGTTGGGCAGCGACATGTTTTCTGCCTTGCTAGTAGGTTAGACATTTCTGTCTCAATATCACGACCATTCATTTGATTCATCTATCAATTATTAATGAATCAAGATTATTTAATAATTTTTAAAATAAAATACAATAAACTCCTTTAAATTATTAAAATTTTACAAAAAATCCCCCTAAATTACAAAAAATCTCCCTTAAACTATTGTTTAGTTGCATTTTACCCCACCACGTAAACTTCCGGCGCCAAAAAAAGTGAAAGACCAGTTTACCCTCGTAAAAGACTACATCTTTTAACTTACTTACCATCTACTGTACGTTCACAAAACATTTCCCAAGCCACAGCAAGCTAAGAGAGAGAAAACTTAAAGAAGAGACGAGAGAGCCAGATAGGCATCATGGCAGAGGAGATGGATCTAATAGTGGTGGTGGTGTGGCGGCAACTATGGGGGTTGAGCTCGGGGAAGGAAACGGAAACAGCCCGGCGGTGGCGATGGGAGTAAGCAAACGGTGGAGGAATAGCCCAGCGGTAGGTGACGGGATTGGCCTTGAAGACTTGGCGGCGAGCAAGGTGGAGAGCTTCGCGCGTGGATGAACTTGGATGGTGGAGAGGATGGACGGTAGTGAGGACGGGCTCTGCCATGGAGACTCGGCGGCGAGCTCGGCCGGTGGCCGGTGGAATCGGTGGGTAGTGCAGCGACTGTGACGGACCGGCGGTGCAAAGAAAAGTCCGGTGAGAAATTGGGTTTCTGAGTTTCTGTTACAATGTGTCTGCCATTGATTTTGTTGTTTGTTTGTTTGTTTTTTTTTTTTTTTTTTTTTTTTTTTTTTTTTTTTTATCACAGTCTCGCTCAAGGCGATGGAGAGATTGACGGTGGTGGAGGGTTTGTGGTTGTGGCAGTGTGCTTGTGGTGATGGAGAGAAAAAGTCATGCCAAATGGTGATGGCGGTGATAGTGGTTGTGGCAGTGGGTTTGTGGTTTCAATTGGGTTTGGCGGTGTGTGGTGAGGTTCGGTATGAATTATTTTCAAGGGTTGTATCGGGTTTGATCGAGCAGGTAATTGGGCGATACGAACATCATCTTCTTCATTTCCGATCTGAGATTGACAGTGGTGGAGGGTTTGTGGCTTCAATTGAGTTTGACGGCTTGTAGTGTGTAGTTTGGAAATTATTTGAGTTTCCACGCGCGGAATCGGAGCACTCAGTCGACGCAAACATCATCTTCTTTATCCCCAACCTGATCGACAGTGATGGTGGTTGTGGCAGTGGGTTTATGGTTTCAATTAGGTTTTATGGTGTGTGTGTGTGGGGTTCGATATGAATAATCTGAGTTTCCAAGCACTGTATCGGGTTTGACTGAGCACATTGTCGGTCGATGAGAAGACCGAGCATGTTGTCGGTGGATGCGAACATCGTCTTCTTCATCCTGACCTGATCTATGGTGTTTCTTTGTTTTGTTTTTTTTAAGGCATTAGGGATTGTTTGGTGGGTATTAGACTTTTGAGTGGTCAACCAAGGGCTGTATGGTCTTTTAAACAAATATTTCTAATCACGTGCCCGGTAAACCTTAAAAAATGATCGACCGGTCATCGAAATAGGTAAGTTGCAACCAAACAACTAAGTATAAGGGGGTTTTTTTGCTACTTTAAAACTTCAGGGGGGTTTTTTGCTTATTGAGATATAGTTGAGAAGGGTTTATTACACTTTATCCTAATTTTTAATTAATTGTGGGCCTCTTAACCATTCCTTCACGATAAATTATTAGATAGTCTCGGGATTGGTTCCAACCAATTGCGTGATGACACATAAGTAAAAAAAAAAATTAATGTTGATATAAAACTAACACACTTACTTTTGTGTCGGTACAACATTGACTGGGGATCAATAATCGGTGACTACCTAATAAATTCTCTTCTTTGTCGTATTGCATCTAATTACATAAAATAACAAAATATATGTATATATGTGTTTGTATTTTTTCTTTTCTTCTTTCCATAAAATATGTTAAAATATCTTTGGTCTTTTCTTGACTGGTGGTTAGCTCATTACAATTACGCAAGACATCTATTGCAAGTAAATTTTTTAGCACTCAGAGTATGCAGGGACCTACTTCCAAACTACAATAATGGTGAGAGTCGAACATGACACATTGGTTTTGTCAGCATGAGCCCATAACTTTATAATTTCACTTAACCACGTTATTTTAGTCGTAATTCATAAATCTAAGCTCATTCCTCTTTGACCGATTAGTTTCAATTGGGACGTGGTCACAAATTTGACCAAGACTTCAGATTAAGATAATTTACTCACCCCACTTTGTTTGTCAAACAAAAACTGCCAGTTTTCAAATCACCAAAACGAAAATAACATTTCAGGTGATTTTGGATACCTGAAGTTTAATGAAGGGAATTTGAGAAAAAAAAAAAAAAAAAAAGGGAAATATACCAACATGTGCCCTCTTCCACGAACGTTGCTAATGGAACTTTACTTGAAAAAAAAAAATGAAAAAAAATTACACATTCCCTTCATTAAACTTCCCTTAACAAACAGACCATTATAAATTAAATGGAACTTGTTGGGGGCTATGCTATACAGATACGAACAATTTTTTTTTTTTAATTTTACAAACACGAACGTTAAGAAGGTGCATAGTGTCTACATGGCAAGAGCAATGCGTAGTTTTAGAGTTTTTTAACGTTATATAGAGAATTATGAAAGCAAAGAAAGTAGAAGATTATGAAAGCAAAGAAAGTAGAAGATGTGCGTAACATCTACGTGGCATGAGAAGAGTGGGGTAACAAACCAAGGTGCTCCGCTTTTATTCTTTTATAACAAAAAAGACAAATTTAACCTTGAACTTCCCATTCAATGTAAAACTTTGGTAATTTTTTTTTTTTTCTTCTCTCTTCTCACTTCTCCCTCTCTTTTCTTTCTTTGTTTGAACGATTCTTCTTCAACAAACTCATCATCTATTTATCAATCACCCTGTCAAGTAACTCAAGCCCACCTTCCACGATGTTCAAATGATTCTTGTTCCTCTTTAGTTCTCACGTCTTCCCTTTGATCATCGGTTTTTTTATTTATTTTTTTAATAAAATCAGATAAATACGATATATGAAGCATAAACAGGAAAAGAGGTGAACCGAGTACATGAGGGGTACTTTTGTCATATTATTATTATCGTAGGTCAGCAGAGCACTAAATGCTAATTTTAGAACACAAATATCACGAGACTAAATAATATTCTAGAATGGTAAAGAATAAAATGGTAAAGAATTTTGGTCGTAGGATGCCTATAAATAGAATGAGACTTCTTCGAATGAGGCGTCTCCGCTTTTTGAGAGAGAGAGAAAAACTTATAATTTTTTTATCCCCATTTTAAATGTATATAAGATATTAAAACATCCTAATAGTGGAAAGGAAGTTCATACAATACACATGTTAAAATCGAACAAAAATAAGGAAACCTGATTTCTTCAAAAATGAACCACTCTCTAGGAGTATTTTCAAAGAGCTTCAAATCACAGATCGGTCGTCTATTTCAAGCTCGAGCTAACCCTAGGTTTCGCGCTGAGAGATGAGAGAGAGCCTTCGAGTTTCAGAAAAATTTGAGACACGGGAAATTATATTAAAATTTTATACTGAATTTTGAGACACAGTAAATTATATTGAAATTTTATACTGAATTTTTTGCGTGTAAAATATACTATTTTTTTTTTTAATCTCTATTTGGCTCTAAATTTTTTGCCCTCTCTCTACTGGCATTTAGGGCTTGCCGCCTCTCTTCCTATTGACCGTGCTCGCTGTTGACTCCTGCCCTGTCCGACGTGCTTGCTCTCAACGCCCACATATGGCACAACTTTGCTTTGTTAGATCGCTGCTTAAGGGGACGGTCCATTGACTCAACTTCAAAATAGCCAAGTCTATCTTAAGATACTGTAAGAAAGTTAGGATAACGACTTTCCTTCCTGTAGGCATTGAAGAGGACTTTGATAACAGATAATGATATAATGAAGCATTCATCAATCCCATTAAAGTTGCACAGATTAATAGCATGACATTTAGGTTAATATCTCTTGCTCACACATCAATATGGAGTGATTTATGTGAATTTATCTAAAAACACAGAAAAAAAAAGTTGCACATATTAATCAATTGAGTAATTTATATTTAATTGTTGGACATTTATTCGAAAACACAGGTGCTGTGTGAGTTTATCAGAATTTACATTAAAAAAAAATTGTTTATCTATAAAAATTTATTTATTATTTAATTATTTTGTTGATATAAAAATGTTGTATTATAGCTATGTGAGTAGAACCGCTTACCTTCAATTAGAACTCAAATTTAGTAGACACGTACGCCCTTTAAAGTTCTACTTCAAAGGAATAAAGTGCATATATGTTGAAACCGAGTTCTAAAAGTTTTAAATTTTAGCTGATTGAAGTATGTCAAAAGTTGGTAGACACGTAGATCCTCTAAAGCTCTACTTCCAAAGGATAAATTTTAGATTTGTCGAAATCTAATAGGCTTCCAAGTTTTAAAATTTCGGCGTATTCGGTTGTATTTATTAAAATAATTTCTTAGAAATATGTAAGTTTAATTTTTTTTTTTTTTTTTTTAATCATACTTTGGATTATTATTATTTTGTTGACGTGCAAATGTTGTGTCATAGCCATGCGAATTGAACCGAGTGACCTTCACTCAAAAAATTCTCTACTCACAAATATGTATTCGTTAAAATTATTTCGTTGTGGAATTACGATCCACAGGTCTTGTGTTTCAAAACAATAGTGAGATCATGTAGATTCAACTCTCCATTCACTCATGGCATTTGGCTTGGTTTAAAGAAACTCACTATTCTTTCGAAGGCAGCAAACAGCCCATATGAGTCCGAAGTGCCCAGTCAGATGAGTACTGTTGTGTGAAGGAGTTTGGCAGCAGCTATAATCCTTGTTCAGTTGAAGATCGAATCCGAAGAGAATATTGTGGCGCTAATAATGTAGCATGAAGAAAAGGTTTTGAATGATGGGAGAAGAACCAAAGGTTCTGAAAAATGGACGAACCTTTATGAAGCTTCTGAAAGATGGGAGAAGGCTAAAAGGACATACAGTGAAGTTCATGCAGCCCCACTTTTGTGAGAGCAACCACTACTTTCAAGTTTCAAGGGTGTAACCAATCTGGACTCCAAAATGCCAGTTTGCCAAGAGGGTACACTTCTTTTGCCTTGATTTTTCCTTTTTTCTTTTAATTCTTTTTTTTTTTTTTTTTTTTTTTTTTGGGTTGTGGGAGAGGGAGGATTAAGTTATGCCAACACATTTGTTGATTTCTAGATAATTTGAATAGGAGGTGGAGTTTTGCTATACCTAATTCCTTTCAAGTGGGTTTTTGTAACTCTAAATACTTCAGTTGTGTTCGATTCCCAATTACTAGCTCCACTATGACACTATTGTATGAAGTGAGTATTGTTCACCCGGACAACAGCGTGAGGGCCCACACCATCAAAATTCACACTTAGTATCTATGCATTTTCTTAATTTATTTATATTTTATATGTTTACGAGCACACAGAGTCCGGTGAACAATAAAGACTCTGGCATGCCCGCGCACCCCAGGGGTCAGCCAAAATACAGCAAACACCTAGATCGTCTTGACCGCATCCTCATAATCTATAGACTTGGGGAGAGTCTCCCGTTTTTTTTTTTTTTTTTCTAACGAGAAAAACTAACACACTCATTTTATCGAAACTTGAATCATCAATTTTTTACTTTGAAAAGTTTATAATATTTTTAATTTATTTATTATTATTATTATTATTATTTTTTGTTAGCATGAAAACGTTGTGCCATAGCCCTGTGGAATTACGATCCAAAGGTCTTGTGTTTTGTGCCGGCCGTACACCAAAGGAATTTTATGGTTGTTTGCTGCCTTCAAAACAATAGTGAGATCTAATGTAGATTCAGCTCTTATTCACTCATGGAATTCAGTAAGTCTGATGTAGATTCAACTATCATTCACTCATGAAAATTCAGACAATCTCGAGCATTCGGTTTGCTTTAAAGAAACTCACTGCATTTAGTTGCAGAGATTGATTGCTGATCAAATTTGAGGAGAAAGATTGTAGCGATAATAATGTAATACACACAACTTTTATAAAGGCATCGATGGGAGAAGAACCTTTATAAAAATTCTGAATGATGGGAGAAGGCTAAAACGACATACAGTTCAATATTATTCAGCAGCATCCAGCCCCGGTTTTGTGAGAGGAACCACTACTTCCCAGTTTCAAGGGTGTAACCAATCTGGACTCCAAAATGTTGGTAAAATATATGCTTAATGTGACTTTTAAGAAATAACAACCCTTATACTAATATGTCATGAGATAATTAACAATATGCTAATAAATCATTAATTAAATATGCAACTCTATATTTAATTAAATATACAAAATAAAGCAATAAAATAATAATAATATGCAAGGAATGAACCTGGATCGAGGCTAGTATTGGATACTATGTCCTTAAGACAGATTCGCCCCGCTATGGTGCTAACGGACTCAGTTGCGTCTATCTCCCAGGATACAACGGTCTACATCCACCAGTAACAGCACTACAAACTCGTGGATACGGCGAACCTCCTCCGTGAGTATTAATACTCTCTCTGACTCAAAAATGCATATATATACTATATAAATATTGAATTGTGTGTAATCCGAACCAAATGGTTCGGACCAATCTTAATATGGCTCGATGAAATTGGATTAGGATCGAAGTGGCTCGAACCACTTAATCTATGGTTTGAACCCACTTGGGTTGGGTTCTAGTCTAGAGAGGGAGATAGAAGAAAATGAAAATGAAATTGAATGAATTGCAAATGATCTAAAGGGGGGTATTTATAGAAACAGAAATGCCTTTTCGAATGGGGTGCGTCTTTTCATTATTGGACACAACCATTGCAATAGGTTGCAATGGTTCACATGGTGTCTATTCACCACTAGACACATCCATTCCAATAGGTTGCAATGGTTCACATGGTGTCTGTTCACCAATAGACACATCCATTCCAATAGGTTGCAATGTGCCTTTTCGAGTAGGTGCAACTATGGGTTATGATGGTTCGGAAAAAAGTGTAATCCTTTGGAAAAAACTAAAAGTGATTTTTTAATTTAAAAGGTGTAACCCTTTAGAAAAAACTAAAATATGGTTTTTTAATTTAAAAGGTGTAACCTTTTAGAAAAACTAAAAAGTAGTTTTTTTAATTCAAAAAACCAACCACCCAAAAACCCCACTCATTTGTGAAACCCATTTAAATAAGCCCAGCTCAAAATTGGGCCCAATCCAAAATTCCAAAAAAAGAAGAATCTGGACTTTACAATTAGGCCCGAGCCCAAGCCCAAATCCTAAACTCAGCTTATTTAAATTTCAATTTGTTTCAACATTTTTTCCATGTGAGACAAACACTTCCCACATTTTGCATACCCATTTAGGCTTATCAAAACACTACACTTTGGAGCTAATTTCTTATTCATTCGGAAATGAATTTCAGAAAGTAAATATACCATGTTCATCTCCTTGCGGAGAGAAACGCGCTTGTCTAGAGATCCGTAAAAAATTATTAGCAGAATCTATTTCAAATCTCATCCAAAGTTTATGTTTTTAATGCCCCCATTTCCAACACAAAATGCCAGTGTGTGTAAGAGGGTAGACGAGAGAAATATGTAAGTTTTTATTTTAACCGACAAAATACACTCGCACCCTCACTTTGCCGGGACTAGAATTGTTGACCTTTTACTTTGAAGAGCAAGAAAGTCCCATTAAGGTACCACCTTTGGTGGTTATGTAAGTTGTGTCCACTCATCATGTTTGAACTTGTTGGAGCATTAGGCCAAAGCACCTCCATACTGATCATTTCACCCGAAAAGGAGGTAGCTTTTGCAGTTCCTTCCCTTCGCTTTCACTGTAATTAGGATACCATAATCATATTGTGCAATGTTGAGTAGTGATCGATCATTCTATATGTTACAAGTGCAGCTAAAAAATACCCAGAGGGAGTTGCAACTGATTTTTTGTTTTTAAAGAAAATTGGTAGTGTACATTATAGTTTATCATTTGAATAAAGTACATATTTTTAGATTCATTTAGATTCAAACCGTTGTGTTGTACATGCACTATTTTTTTCTTTTCTGCCATAGATTTACATACTTTTGAAATCTGAATTTATAAGAAAGAATCTCCCACTCAGACGACACGGAAAGAGTCGGCTATTTTTTTCAAATCCTTGTAATGCCTCTTCCATTGAAGACCTACAAAGATCAAAAGGAGTGAAATTATTTGATTTTCAAAGATAGCTAAGATTCTTGGATGTGATCATGTAAAGCTTGTGAATGCAGGGTAAATGTCTATACCGTTGCCAGTTACGTTGAACAAGTAGAGACGATTCCCTGCAGCAGTAGCTGTGATCAGAACATGAGGAGGTTCCAATTCAAACTGGTAATATTTTCTCCCAGAGTGTTCTGCTACTTCAGAACTTAATACCTTGCCCTCTACATTCTCACCAATCACTTCTGGTCCAAATGCACTAATCACTTTATCGGGTGGTCCAATTCGCTCAATTTTAGCGTCATCACCAAGATCTACACAACATAACATCAACCTAGATAAAGATGTGCTTATAGAACGAACTTGGGTATTTTTGTGTGGCTGTAAGAAAGTAGGTTCGAAAACATATAACTAGAGATTGAAGTTTTAATTGATGGTTTGAATAAACTTGTCAAGTCTAAACTACACATGAATCTTAGGACATTGTTCTGATTGTTCAAAAAAACAAAAAAAAAGAGACTAGAAAATCATCACCAAGATCTACTACACAACAGAACATCAACCTAGAGATTGAAGTTTCAATTGATGAGTCTAAACTACACATGAATCTTAGGACATCGTTCTGATTGTTAAAAAAAAAAAAAAAAAAGGGTAAAAAAGCGAGACTAAAAAATCATCACCAAGATCTACAAAACATCAACCTAGATAAAGATATGCTTATAGAAGTTACTTGGATATGGTTGTGTCGTCGTGATAAAGATAGTAAGGAAGAATATAACTAGAATACAATTTCTAATGATGGTTTTTGTAAAATTGTCAAGTTGCTAAACTACACAAGAATCTTGGGGCATTATCCAGAATGTTGAAAAAAGACTAGGAACACGATTTTTGAGCTGCTGGGAATTTGATTCCCTTGTTTTTGTAGCCTAGGTTTTGGTTTAATGAAGTAATTCATTTAGGGGAGGGAAAAAAAATACTAGGAACAAGAACTTAGGGAAACTCACTATCTGCAAATCTGAGGACAGGAGCAACAATGACGAATATGCGTCCTTCTTTAGGACTAGTAAATCTAGATATGCTTATAGAAGTTACTTGGATATGGTTGTGTCGTTGTGATAAAGATAGTAAGGAATAATATAACTAGAATACAATTTCTAATTGATGGTTTGTGTAAAATTGTCAAGTTGCTAAACTAAACAAGAATCTTAGGGCATTATTCAGAATGTAGAAAAAAGACTAGGAACACGATTTTTGAGCTGCTGGGAATTTGAATCCCTTGTTTTTGTAGCCTAGGTTTTGGTTTAATGAAGTAATTCAGTTAGGGGAGGGAAAAAAATACTAGGAACAAGAACTTAGGGAAACTCACTATCTGCAAATCTGAGGACAGGAGCAACAATGACGAATACTCGTCCTTCTTTAGGACTAGCAAATCTCAAATCAATCTCTGTGCCACCTAAATCTGCAATCGATACAGGAACCTGAAACACAGATCAAGAGACTAGTTTAGAGAAGTGATTTAAGGCATTCGATAAAAACTAACCCTGCAAGGTCAAAAGCTTGATCAGTTGGATGTAAATACAATTGAATAGTCAATGTTTTATTTGATTGGAACAAAGAAATTTCTTCAAACGATTTGGCTACGGGTTTGAAAGAAGCTCAGAAGTGGAGGTAGAAGTCTATTTTGTTGAAGTCGACTGTTACCTCTTCCCAGTCTTGAGGCACTGAAAACATGTATGGGATAATTGGACTCCATCCAACGCCATGCCCTCCGGACTTCTCATCTGGTCTGCGGTATGTGCACCAACCTGTCTGAGCATTTTATTTCTAATGAGTGGTGACAGTTCACTTGAAAAATAAAATTAAATCACAAGGTGATAATAATATGATCCAATTTCTTTGCTCCCCCTCAAAGTTTAAGAATAGTAACTTTATGCATATATGTTTGAGGCTCAACAAAACAAATGAATGCACAAATCAGTATTTCTTGTCGTTTTACGGGGTTTGTTACTTCTGTCTAATTTTTGCTTATTGCATGGTATTGGTTGGCTTGACATTTTATCAGTGTGCAGAGTATTCTAACTGTTGTTTTGACATTTTATCAGTATTGTACAGAGCTTCTTTCTGGATTATGGTCCTTGATATGTCTTTACATGGTTAAGAAGGGCTGGTATGCCTCCATTAGAAATTTATGCGGCTGCAAAAATATTTGTCTTATGATATGGCTTGTAAGAGAAAGTATTGAATACCCCGGATACTTGGCACGTGGTACCCCTCCCAATAAAAACTCCTCATTTCTCTTGAAAACTCCCGCTTCTCTATTATCAAGGAAAATTGGGAATTTTCATACCGCATGTCAAAATACCCTCGGGATACTTGATGTATGATGTTTTATCGGTTTGTAGAGCTACTATTGTTTATATAGGGATAGTCTGTTTTAAGGACAATAATTCTTGCTCCTCTTATGTTAGCTTTCTCTTTTGGTTTTGTTCTCTTTTTTGGTTGCTCTTTACTTGGTGGAGTTGGGGTTTTCATGAATGTATTAGTCATTGTACATTGGCTTTATGCCTTCTGTTACATGAATTCTCATCCTTTTATTTATCTCGTGTGTGTGTGGTTGAGGCAAATTGTGGGGCAGAATCTATAATCAAATTGTATGGAACAAATATCATCAGTGTGGAGAGAAATTGGAGTAATGTAAAATTTTCCATGGAAAACATAATTAAAGAAACAGGGATAATAGGTGTTTTTTTTTTTTTTTTTTTGGGTAATTTTTTCCTAGGTTTTTATTTGTAATCCTGAATTGGGTAGAATAAGCTAAGAATAATATTTAAAAAGAAAAAGAAAAAGAACTATATTTTCTCCATGTTGAGATTACAGTAGATATATAAAAGACATGAATTGAATAGAAGTGAAATAAATATGTGGGACCATGAAAAACCAACCTTGTTCATCTGGTTCAGAGAGACCAGGTATCCTCCCAGCCAAAAGACCCTGTTTCACTACTGCCAATCCCTCTCTTGGATAACCCAAAACAGCAGAAGATAGTAATCCAACCCCAGAAACTAAAGCTTGCCTTCTCTTCAACAACCCAGAGACCAATCTCTCACTCTCTTCATCATCAAAATACCCATTTTCTCTTGAACCTCCAAAAGCCTTTGTTCTTGAACACCCTTTCTCTAGTGAAGGGACTTTCCAGGACAAGCAACAGCTAGTGAATATGGTTGTTCCCATTTTCCCGAGAAAATGGAATTGTATGTAGAATTTTCTACACAGTCTTCAGAGGATTCAAACAGATGTTACCAACAACTGTAAAATCATCGTCTCAAAAAGCCTTCTCAGGATGTGTGGATGTGGTGTCACAGCCTTTTACATATTTAATATCTATTAAATCATCACATCACTGGCTTGAAACGTGCCACGTGTACGAGTCACTCTTTAAGGATCCAGAATAAATCAAGATTTTAAATGGGACACCACTACAAGAAAAACAATAAAACTTAATACATACATGTATATTAGTTGATCTACTTGATCAGCTTCTGAAAATTAAGTAATACTGTATTATGTTCCTAATTGCACACATGTAAACACAAAGCCCAACCGTGTGTGTGTTTTTTTTTTTTTAATTATATACTAAGCAACTTCAAAGCCAATATATGTAACAGATCAATTAAAAGCCCTACAGTTTCTTCTGATCTCTCCTTCTGAGCCTGTCTTGACACCAATTTGACCCATCCTCACTATGGACGCGACAAAGTCTGTCTCAAATGAGGATTTGGACATGCCCACATAGGCATCAATCACTTCCTTGGTACTCTCGTCCTCGTAGAGCCTAGCATCCGATGCTATCACAGCAAAACCACCCTTGATGTTGCTCAAAATCTGATCGTCAAATGTCTCGCCGGTCCTCGCATCAAGCGGCATTCGTGCATTCACGTCTCCATCTTTAGGGCACTTGGCTTCAAGTTCAGGAAGGAACTGAGGGTTGATTGCAGGATCAGAGCCGGCTCTGCCGTTAAAGCTGTAGAGTCGAGTCTCCATGAAGAAACATGCAGTGGTGCCAATGGTATGCGCAGCTGAAACGTTTTCAGCATATGAATTACTATACAAAGCTCGTTGTAATATTCTACACACGCTTTCACTAGAATCAAAATTCTCTTCGGTCACAATTTTATGCCGTTACTGAATTTACCACTATTAATTATGGATTTTGCTATGTGAAATTTCACATAACTAGTGAAATTTTATGAAATTTATCATTGAGAGTGATAAAATTCACCGAGAACCGCACACGATACCAGTTGATCGGACTATTTTTACCACAAAATGTTACTGTATATAATGCACTACATGTCGCGAATGCTGTTCAATTGGTTATATATGTAAGTATATAATATATGTACCACTAAGAAGGACAAGGTCTTTATCTGAAAGTCCCTTCTTTGTGAACTTGGATTTGAGAAGCTGGATTGAATCGTCAACTTCCGGCAGCTCATCGGCATGAGACTTAGTTGAGACCCGACCGTCTCTCCGGCCAGTCTGTACCTCATAAGATGGTCCTTTACTCTGCAATATTTACATATCAGTCGTATACAGACACAATAAACTCAAATTTCGTCAATGATTTTGAAAAAAGAAAACACACATTCATAATTACAACAAAACAAAAACAAACAACAGAAAATACGTCAGAATCACACATGGACGTGTGTGCATATTCCTACCTAATTAGAGACATATGTGTATATATTATACACACGGTGCAGACACAGAGTCACAGATGTCTAGGAGCCTAATAATAGTAAAGAAGTCCGGGAACTTCAACTACATAAAAGACACCTATTAGACACATAGAATTGATTACAAATTAAAGTTACTTAGTATTAAGAATGGGCACTAGTCTCGATGGTATAAGTTTTTTGATATTTTTATTTTTTATTTTTATTATTTACCGAAGGAAAAAAATATTATGGGGCGTGAAGATTTGCTTGAACTCTCAGAAAATAAAAATAAAAATAAAAAAACAATATATTATTACCAAAACAATAGCATCTCTAGCAGCCAAAGCAACAATGTCTGCACAAGAAACAATTCCAGGACACTCATCTTCCAACTTTGCTTTGGCTTTGTCTATTTCTTCAAACCCTCCAAGGCCTTGATGACCAAAAGCATTTTTCTCACCATCTTCACCATTATCAATCAGAATTGAACCATCACAACCCTACACCAAAAAAAAAAAAAAAAAAACCGACACATATCCAATAAGCTATTTACAAAATTAAACACACACACACATAGAAGGTGACAAAGACCTCAACAAAGCAGTCATGGAATTGGAGCCTCAGCAAGATAGCAGGGATTCTTGGGTTGGAGTTTGCGGCTTCGGCGACGACAGACCGGACAATGGACTCAGCTTCAGGGCATGTTTTGGAGTAGAAGCCCACATTGAGTTTGCCTTCTGAAAGTACTACCCCTAGCAAGGGATGGCATAGAATGAGAGCTAAAGTCAAAGCCTTTGCATTGCAATTAAGGATTTCTAAGAAGGCCATGGTGGTGAAGAAGAAGCAAAGCAAGAGTGCTAGATGGAGGGCTCAGAGCTAGACTAGTACTCTTATATATAGAATCATCTTTTTGCAATGTGTCAACACAACTGCATGACTTTTTTTGTGACTTTTGTACACACACACAATCTCCAAACTTAACACTTACTCCACCTCTTTCTTGTTTTACAAATAAAAAATAAAAAAATCCATAGCCATAGATTAGAAATATTAGATTAAACTATATTGCTATGGATCATTAAAAAGTGTGCAACCTTCACACGCATATAAGAATTTATATTCGTCCTCTGCTGTATAACACGGTTATAGTACATTTGACACGTATATTTCATTTGCAACAACCAATAACAAATGAGAACTTATCTCAACCTCATGATCATATGCTTAATTACATAGACTCTCTTTTTTTGGTCCAGAGACAACAATAGAAAGATGAGAATCACGAGTAATTGGAACTTTGTTCCATGTTCTTCCAATGTATGTATATAAAGACTAGAAAAGTAGAAAATCTATTAAAAGGAGCCAACAACCTTTTTTCCATGCAAGTTTGGTCCATTCTCTCACTTAAAGTCCATTCATATCCACCTTTTAAGTCCAAAGTGTTCCACAATTTGTGACTTGACTTTTCTTCTAGTCTTGCTTTTCTTACTCCATTTGGTTAGTCTGAGTAGTCTTGGAAAGACACGAAAATTGCATGAATATTTTTCATAACAAACCATGTCATAAGACAAATGTAGCAACTAAGAGGCCAGGTTGATTTTCTTGCTAACCAAACACACCTTTAATCACAATGTTGACTAAGAAATGTACATTTTCATTAGTAGTTGTCATCATTTCTTGGCACTTTTGTGTAGATACGGTCATTTAAGTAATTAAACCAATAGAAAACGCGTATGCAAGCATGTAATTGTCAATTTTTATACCCACCAAGTTCATACCAAGACTAGCTAGGTTGCACACTTGCAAATGCAAAAGTACCCGCACAAAAAATAATTTAGCCCACAACATGGTAAGCAAATCGATTTTCCACTTGGGTGCAAATAGATTTTTTCAATGAAAAAGTAAACACACACCATTTCTGCTCACGCTCAAACTAAGACCTCTTCTCTCCTCTTCGAGGCAGGACCGGCCAAAAAAATAATAATAATAATAATAAAAGACTAGGCTTAGGGTCTTTCCAAATTTTGGGCCTCTCAAATTTAAGAGATTCGCCTAGGCCTCCCAAAATGTTAGCCTCTCAAGATTGAGGATAGAGAATTTATAGCATAGGCTTTTAAACTTTTTGGTAAGAAAAGAATACTTGTTATGTAAATAACAAGAATATTAATTATTTTTTAAAAAAGTATTATTATTTTGATTGACATAACAAGAATATTAATTATTTTTCTAAAAAGTATTATTATTTTGATTGATATGATTTCGACTTGTCATATTTAGGCATATTAATTAATATTGAGTCAATAAAACCAATCTTCTTTTACATTTGAGGAGACATTAAAAACTTTCAATTTATGGTTTTTTTAACTTTGTCTATGATTTTGGTGTCATTTAAGATTTTTCCTTGCGGATAACTCATAGGTCTTTTAGGTCGTTAATTTAAATTTTCTTTTCCGTTTTTAAATATCAAAATTTGGCATTTAAGATTTTTCCTTGCGGATAACTCATAGGTCTTTTAGGTCGTTAATTTAAATTTTCTTTTCCGTTTTTAAATATCAAAATTTGGCCAAATTTCTTATTAGCTTATAATTAAGACTATGTGAAGTTACAAAGGTCGATTTCATGAGATAAAATTGTTTGGTCCTTTCAGGGGCTTCTGATAAATAAAATAAAATTATTTGATATTTGTCATTAAAATTTGAGTAATCAAAAATTTAATTCATATAGTTTTGACTATTAATTAATTAAAAATTCCATTATGGGTTTTACTTGGGTGATGTTATAAAAAAAAATTGTTGTGTTCTGGTTCACTATGGTAAAAAAATATCCAATACTTGTGTACAAAATAAATCTAATTTAATTCAGAGCTCGATACATGTGAGCATGTACGAACATAAAAATTTAATAAAAATATTAGCATAATTACATACAAAACACAATGTATAATGTGATTAAGCTCAATCTACCTATGTGATCATGTCATGATAGAAAATATCCAATACAAATTTAATTTATTTTGACGTAAAATATATATTTTTAAAATTATTATTATTTTTTTAAGTAAAATATTTTTTTATTTTTATTTTATCGATATTTGACAAAAGTTTAAGTCGAAATTGAGATGAAGTCAATCCAGCGATATATATATAAAATAATTTATTAAAAATTAGTGAATAAATTATTTTTATTAAATTTTAATATGTTTTTGTTCCTAAATATTTTGCTATACCCAAAAAAAAAACATAGATGGCAGTGATTGAGACCACATTAAGTACAACATATCAAAGCAGCTCTAGCCTCCAGGGTACAATTAGAGAAAGCGTCAGATCCACACGAACAAAGATCAACACCGCCAAACAATGCTGATATCAGCTTTCACCTTCACCTTCTGTGTCGAACCCTAACACCCCCAAACCCACCCTAGTTTTATTTCTTGGGTTCCTTTATATAACTCGTCTGATTCAAACCCAATCACGAGTTTCTGTAACTGTAACCTAATACTCTCGATTTTAGGGTTATTCATTGCTCTCTCTATTCTCTCTCTCTATATATCGTGTCTTGATAAGTTCTTGATCGGAGTTTTGCAAACATGTCTTACCGGCGGCGAGACGACGATGACGATCTCGAGCCAGAGGAAGACGAGGACGAATATGTCGAGGAGGAGGAGGAGGATGAGGATGACGGTGACCGCAGGTCCAGCCGTAAGCGGCGGAGATCCGATTTCATAGACGACGTCGCGGAAGAGGACGATGATGAAGAGGAGGACGACGACGACGATGAGGATTTTGATGGCGGAGGCGGCGGCGGTCGTCGTGGTGCTGGTGCTCACCGCGCGAAGAGGCGGTCGGGGTCTGAATTCTTCGACCTCGAGGCGGCTGTGGACAGCGATGAAGAAGAGGAGGAGGAAGAGGGCGAAGACGGTTAGGGTTTCTTTCCTATATATTTAATTCTGTCTCTATATATGCAGTATGTAGTGTTTATCGAGTGATTGAGCAAGCATTAGGTTGAATGATTCACGTTCTTCATGAAATTGGAATATTGAATTATAAACATGGTTGCTTTAGATTAGAGGCTTGGATTAGATGTGAAAATTAAAATTGAAATTGAAATTTGTTTATGTTAATTGTGGAAAAGTTAGAATTTTTTTGAAGTGATTTTTTTGGATCAAAAACTAATTGTTAATGAATTCTGGCATGTGGATTGAATATATGGAAGGGGAGGTGTGCTCTTCTGATTAAATTGTTGAATGAAAGTTGATAAATATGTGTGTGTATGTGTTTGCAGTGATTTTAAACTGACGTGAGAATTGAAATTCAGAACCTGTTAACAAACCAATAGAGCTCACTGAAAGATTCTAGATTGATTTTGGTGTCGGACATATTACCTTTGCATACATAAATTGTTTGTATTAGCATGTACTTCCTTTGTGAAATGATTTATTGTTCTGTTATAATATGCCCCTAATTTGGGGGTCTAAATGGATATTGCATAGTGTTTTGGGTCGTACAAATTATGCAAGCAAATTTCGAAGTGTTAAAGTGGGGGGTGGGGGAGTAATGCTGCATTTGGTTTTTGCCTTTTTATCATTCGGCAGAAGATTGCAGAATATTCAAGGCATCAACATAGTAATTCTGAAATAAGGAAAGAGCGATGTGACATAACATACCTCTTCATTACATTTTTCACAAAGTCCAGCTTGATTATTGTTTAACTAAGCGTTATCAAGTTTCTATCTCTTGCTGCTATCTATACGAAGAATACCATTTTTGAAGGCACCATGACCTAATTTCTTTTATCTTGAAAAAAATATTACCCTTCAACACTTTTAAACTAGCAGATTTTTTTCTCTTAAAATAATTTCATAGAATGTAAACCCCCCCTCTTGAGCTACTTTCCCGTAGAGCTCAAAATCTGTGTTGTAAGTGGCCTCATACCTATATCTCCTAATTCTCTGGGCTTTCAGACTAATTCCAAAAGGATTATCACATATAAATGGTGTTAATGACCCATATTTACCATTTAACGGAATCAAAGTCTTATAGTTTCAAAAAATTGAAGTTGACCAAAATGCTGACATGGACATGAAAAAACACCGTTTACCCTCACCGAGATACCACTTTTAGGCACATGGGTACCACTTTTTGTGCACCGAGGTACCACTTTTTGTGCATTAGGTATCATTTTTGTTTTGGGCATAGACGTACCACTTTTATTCACATAGGTACCGCTTTTTGTGCATTAGGTACCACATATTTGTGCAATAGTACCTAATGACAAAAAGTGGTACTTCAGTGAGGGTAAGCAGTGTTTTTCCATGTCTTCATTTTTTTTGAAACTATGAGACTTTGACTCCATCAAAGTAAATATGGGTCATTAGCACCATTGATATGTAAGAATCCCAATTCCAATTGTGAAACCTGTAGGCAGTCTCTACAACTTTGCTCTCTCAGTGATCGCCTTTAGGATAATTGGGAAAGACATGTTATGGTTTTGATTATGTTGAGTTGATCTCACCTTCTATATCCCCTACTACAAAACCCAATCCCAACTTGACACACTCAGAAAAGACTACACTCCAGATAGAAATGTCTTTTCCAGCAAATACTTCGAAACAAATTGTTCTGCGTAGATAGAAGTATCTCCGGACTTATTGTCACTCTTAGGGTGGACATGCACCCAAAAAAATGTCCAATAAATCAGTTTAATTATATTATTGCTTCAAAATGAGTGAAATATTACATAAAGACATTACTGTACTCTAGAAAATAAAATAAAATATTAATATTTAGCAGTGTCCAGCTATCTTTTTGCTTGTGATTTGACACGTTCAATGCATGGATGCATACCCGCGCACAACATTCATATTCAAGTCGATTGTAACAACAACGAGGTGTTCCGATTCTTCTATGTGGTTCCCTGACTTCCTAACATCAGCGCTCATCTTAGTCTCTCTTTGTAAATATTTTATTTATCTTCTATTTATTATTATCTTGATATGGTACTACAGACTTCATAGTGGATGGTGGAGCTGAACTTCAAGAAGAAGGTGATTCTAGAAGGATGCGCCATCGCCCTTTGCTGCCAAGAGATGATGAACAAGAAGATGTTGAAGCTCTCGAAAGAAGTATTCAAGCAAGATATGCTAGGTCAAATCACACAGAATATGATGAAGAAACAACAGATGTAGAACAACAAGCTCTTCTGCCATCCGTTAGGGATCCAAAGCTGTGGATGGTCAAGTGTGCGGTATTATAACAATCCTGTATGATGTGATAATTTATGGTACCTACTTGATTTAATCGTTATGTATATATTGAGTCTTTGTTCTTTTTTGCTAGATTGGTCGTGAGCGGGAGGTAGCTGTTTCTCTAATGCAAAAGTCCATTGACAAAGGATCTGAATTGCAAATTCGGTCAGCTATAGCCCTTGATCATCTCAAAAATTATATATATATTGAAGCAGACAAAGAAGCCCATGTGAGAGAGGTATGCAATATCAAGGCATCATACATTCGTGTTGCTCAAGTAAATGAGGAGCTTTGCAATAATTTGTGATGCATATATTGTGATGATTTGACCCTTTTATATTTAATTTTGCTTCAGGCTTGCAGGGGCATGCGGAGCATATATGCAACTAAAGTAATGCTTGTGCCTATTAAAGAAATGACTGATGTCCTTTCTGTAGAAAGCAAAGCTATTGATCTTTCCCGGGATACTTGGGTCAGAATGAAGATTGGGACATACAAAGGGGACCTTGCAAAAGTGTGGACCTTCTTCCTTTCTTCATTGCCCTCATGATATCACTTTTGCAGGTTATTTTATTAATATTTTGTCTTTTCTAATCTTTAGGTTTTTTATTTTTTAGGTTGTGGATGTGGATAATGTACGACAGAGAGTTACAGTGAAACTAATTCCAAGGATCGATTTACAGGCTGTGGCAAGCAAATTGGTATGCCTTTATCAGTTGTTAATTAGAGCTTATGAAAATGGTCAATTCTTGAAACTGTAGACATTCGCTGTTGTTGTCCAATCACTTTCTTTTAGCCCGAGAAACATAAGTATTTTGTATTGTTTGATAATATTTACTGAATTAGTCAAATTCAGATTAATAGGGATTTTCCATGCTATTGCATGTGTTTTATCAAAATGTCATACTAATTAAAAGGGCAATTTATTCTTGTTTTAGGAAGGTAGAGAAGCCCCAAAGAAGAAGGCATTTGTTCCTCCTCCACGTTTTATGAATGTTGACGAAGCGAGGTAGCATTATTTCTAATATCGCTAATAGTGACATAACTGTTACTCTCTGTGTTAAGATCTTCCTTTACGCTTTATCTTCAGAGAAATGCATATCCGTGTGGAGCGTAGACGAGATCCAATGACCGGTGACTATTTTGAAAATATAAATGGCATGATGTTCAAGGATGGTTTCTTATACAAAACTGTGTCCATGAAGTCAATTAGCACTCAGAACATACAACCGACTTTTGATGAGCTTGAGAAATTCCGGCAACCTGGTGAGAGTGGAGATGGAGATATGGCTAGTCTATCCACTTTATTCGCGAACAGGAAGAAGGGTCATTTTATGAAAGGTGATCGGGTTATTGTTGTCAAGGGTGATTTGAAGAATTTAAAGGGTTCAGTTGAGAAAGTCGAGGAAGGCATTGTTTATATTAGACCGATAAAGTCGACAAAAGAGGATGAGGACCTTCCGGTATGACACAAATCGAATTTCCTTCCATTTTTAGGCATTCAGATCAAGTTTTCATATTTATACTTTTCTGTTTATTAATTTCGAGCAGAATACTCTTGCTGTAAGCGATAAGGAACTTTGCAAGTACTTTGATCCCGGTAATCATGTGAAGGTTGTCTCTGGTGCAACAGAAGGTGCAACCGGTATGGTTATCAAGGTTGATGGGCATTGTGTAATTATTGTGTCTGATACAACTAAAGAAGATGTGAGTGGTATTCTTTTTTTTTTGGTTTTAATATCCTTGACTGTGCACTTTTCTCTAATGGACAAATAACACCATTATGTGTTGTATTTTAGATACGCGTATTTGCTGACAATGTTGTCGAGAGCTCTGAGGTAACGTCTGGTGTTACCCGAATAGGGGACTATGAGCTTCACGATCTTGTGCTGTTGGAGTAAGTTCTTGTTTATTCTGGCATCTTATTTCCTTTCTTTTAGTCAAGTTCTTATATTGTATGTCAATTTTTTGCAGTGATAATAGCTTTGGTGTAATCATAAGAGTGGAAAAAGAAGCTTTACAGGTGACTTATATAACTCTAATGATCAATATAATCATTGAGCATCTTGCTGAATTATTGGATCACTTCTTCTTTTTTATTATTTTTTCTTTTTCAGGTTCTTAGGGGAGTTCCGGAAAGACCAGAAGTCAAGCTTGTTAGATTAAGAGAGATAAAATGCAAAGTTGAGAGGAAATCATTTGCCCAAGATCGGACAAAGAACACAATATCAGTGAAAGATGTTGTTAGGATTCTTGAGGGTCCATGCAAAGTGAGATCCTCAACTCTCTTTTTTATTATTCACATTAATTATTCAATAATGGTGTTCATACTATTTCTGTCATATATAGGGCAAACAAGGTCCTGTTGAACATATTTACAGAGGAATTTTGTTTATCTACGATCGTCATCACCTTGAGCATGCTGGCTTTATCTGCGTTAAATCTCAATCTTGCGTGGTTGTTGGTGGATCACGTGCCAACGGTGATAGAAATGTATGTATTTCATATGTTGTAGCAATGAAAATTCTTTTTGTCGAAACTATTGTTGAAACTTAAAAGGGCAATATTTGCTAATTCTTTTGGTTCATTGTCTTTAAGCTGACACTTGTGTTACCACTTCTGCAGGGTAATTCACTGAATTCAAGATTTGCACATCTGAGAACTCCACCTCGTGTGCCCGAGTCTCCAAGGAGATTTTCTAGAGGCGCCCCTCCCTCAGGTTGCTGATGTTAACTTAATGCTTTCTAATCTTGTGCATTTTTATTTAAATTTTGTGTTCTCTTTCTGGTTGTAATCACTGTTAATAATTCAAGAAATGAGATTTTACTGTCTTCTTACTATGGTATAGCTGGAGGAAGGCATAGAGGTGGAAGAGGGCATGATGCTTTGGTTGGTACTTCTATTAAAATTCGCCAGGGCCCCTTTAAAGGCTACCGTGGTCGTGTTGTAGATGTTAAAGGTTCATCAGTCCGGGTTGAATTGGAGTCCCAGATGAAGGTTGTTTCAGGCAAGTTTCCTCATGATATGTCGTTTTATTTTCCCAAGCATCCTTGTTTATCCTGTTTGTTCTGTGGATAACTATTGCTGTCTTTGCAGTTGATCGCAATCATATATCTGACAACGTGGTTGTTTCAACTCCATACCGGTAATTATGGTATTCCTTTTTATCAAGTTTTATACAGTTTGAAACTTACTAATTGATTTCGTTTTTCCAGTGACACGCCTCGATATGGTTCCGGAAGTGAGACCCCAATGCATCCTTCAAGGACACCGCTACATCCATATATGACTCCTGGGAGAGAGCCAGGAGGTTTGTTCTTTTAAATCGACCTTCCTTTGTAATCTCGTTGCTTACAAACTCTATTTTACCTGTTAATCTATTTTTGTTTCTCTTTAATGTTGCTACAGCAACACCTATTCATGATGGGATGAGGACCCCAATGCGTGACAGAGCATGGAATCCCTATACACCCATGAGTCCACCAAGGTTTATTACCACTCTTTTGCTATATTTTTATTTTTTATTTGTTTTATTACTTTATAAATGTTGAACAGGTGAAGAAGGTTTTTTCTCTCTACTTGACTAGTCGTAGAACAATGCTAGTGTTAAAAAAATGTATAGCACTGATTTAAATACATAACATATAGGTTTCACCTTTTATTGTTTTAATGGGCTTACGTATTTAAGTGCTAAAATTAATGCTCAGACTTGGTGGTGCTGTTTTTTTATTGTTGAAAGGAGCATTTTTGATGTATTTTTATATTTCATTTTCCCTCGATGTTTCCCTGTGTGGGAAATTGTGACATGTATTAGGATATTGTTTTAATTGTTGGTTGTTGTATCTCTTGAACTTAATCATCATTTCAATCCGTAACATGCTCTTTAAGGATGCGGTCATTTTTAAGTGTTACTATTGTTACTAATGATCAATCTTTGGAATGGCAACAATTAGGGATAATTGGGAAGATGGAAATCCTGCTTCCTGGGGGACGAGTCCACAGTATCAGGTCAGCATTTTTGCACAACTTGACCATAATATTAAGATGGTTGGAAAGTCGTTTATACTTTATATGTACTGTAATTGTGTTGCTGTTGCTTTTCAGCCAGGAAGCCCCCCTTCAAGGGCATATGAAGCACCAACTCCTGGTTCTGGTTGGGCTAATACTCCCAGTGGCAATTATAGTGAGGCTGGAACTCCAAGGGATAGCAGTCCTGCCTATGGTAACATATATTATATATGTATATATATATATATATTTGGTTATGTAAATTATTGACACACACCCACAAATGCCCCCTTCAAGGGCATATGAATTACCAACACCTGGTTCTGGTTGGGCTAATACTCCCAGTGGCAATTATAGTGAGGCTGGAACTCCAAGGGATAGCAGTCCTGCCAATGGTAACACACACACACACACACACACATACTTGGTTATGTAAATTATTCACACGCACAAATGCCCACTATATGGCTCGAACCCCTCGCTTCCCCTTTTTGGGAGAAGAGGTTATACCAACTGGGCTAATGGCACACTGCTTCCTGCCTATTTTAATTGAATGAAAGTTCCCTTCCTTTCTTTTTTATATTATTGTCGCTTTGTTAATTTTTGTTTCTTTTTCAGCAAATGCTCCAAGCCCTTACTTACCATCAACTCCTGGGCAGCCAATGACACCAAGTTCAGCCTATTTACCTACCACTCCTGGTGGGCAACCGATGACACCCGGAAGTGGTGGTTTGGATATTATGTCACCAGTAGTAGGTATGTTTACCTGTATTCAGTATGTGTGTGTACTTATCTGTTCCTGTTTTCAGTGTGTGTTTGTACTTTTCCATGCCTATATTCAGAGTGTGTACGTTTCCATGTCTTAATTGTTGTGCTAGACCAATTACAGTTATTTATTTATGATTTCTTCATATCTATATCTTGTGTAAAATAATGAAGTGTTTGCACGAAGTGTGGGATTAATATCTACGTGCTGTAAACCTGGGATGATAACAATAACAATAATAATAGCGGTGCCAAAGCTTTTGTAGTGCATTGGAATAGTACTTGCATGGCATTTAAAACGAATGGTTGCCATTAATGATTGATTCTTATTCTTGCTACTTTCTATTAATTTTAATACATAAAATTGTAATAATGCGATTACGATTATTATCTTTTGTTGCAGCAAACAAGTTGCTTTTGGACATTACATGAACTATGTTCTCATGACTTTTCCTGCACTGAAAGGCAAAAAAAACTTTTTTCAAAATTTGGAGATATTTTAAGCCCTGCTTTCAGTATTAGTGGGCTGTAGTAGATCTCTGTACTGGCAATGCAATTTGGTGTTGGCTATTGCCTGGAATTATTTTTGGCTGAGATTTATCACCTGATCTACAAATTTTTGTTTTTTTTTTTTATTTTTAATAAAAAATTATAATAAAAGGTTAAATACTATCATTTCTAGAAGCCTGGTACCAAGTGGTGGCAGGAGAGAGCTGTAATCCATTTCAGTAATTTCAAATTTAGTTCCATAGCAGACATAATGGAGAACAAACTGGAATATGAGATGTTCAAACACCGGAGGATCTTATTTCAGGCAGAAATGAATACTCAATCACGAGTTAAATTTTGGTTCTCTTTTGTTTTTAATATTCAGGCAAATCCTGGAGTAAAATCCTTATCTGCATTGTTTATTTATTTCTCAGCACTAGTAGGTTCCTTTTCAACCTTCTGACTAATAGAAAAATATTATTCCCTATATGACAGGTGGGGACAGTGAAGGACCTTGGTTCTTGCCAGACATATTGGTCAATGTACGCAGGTCTGGTGAAGACAATGGTGTGGGAGTTATTCGAGAGGTGCTACCGGTATGTTTCGTATTTTGTCTGTTTAGAATGCATATGCAAAAAATTTCTGCTAATTTGAAAACAAAAGGAAACCTGGGGCAATTATAATATTTGATTAATGATAAGGAACAACAATAAAGCCTTTTCCCAACTACTTAGGAGGGTTGGCTACATGAATCCTTTGTTTTCATTCCACTCTATTTAAGGTTGTAGCCTTAGTATTACCCTCTATGTGGAGTACGCACTTAAATGCTTTCGTTGCACATGGCCAGACCATCTCCTGAATGTATAAGTATCCGATTTGAATATTTTATTTTAAATTTTGGATATTTCCCAGCCTTATCGCATGCGTATCTGTTTTGGTTAAGATGGTTTGGGCATGTATATCACAAAAATGTTGGGTTTTTATTAGTCTCCATAATAAGTAAATAGCCTCAATTGTTAAACCTTCCCAAATTGATTCTCCAACACTGAATTTGGGAGAAAATCATTTTCTGAAAGATAAATATGGATAAACAGTTATGCTGACATTGGTGTTTGTGGTTCAGGATGGTTCTTGTAGGGTTGCTCTTGGAACTAGTGGCAATGGTGACACAATCTCTGTCCTACCCAATGAAATGGAGATAATTGTACCGAGGAAGAACGATAAAATCAGGATCATGGGTGGTGCACAGCGCGGGTTATCTGGAAAGCTGATTGGTGTTGATGGAACTGATGGAATTGTTAAAGTAGATGATACACTTGATGTTAAGATTTTAGATATGGTCATACTGGCCAAGCTAGCACAACCTTGATCATTGTAATGTTTTGTTTTTCATAGTCATATTGTATATCTTGGTGACCTTCGATTATGAGTATCCAGAGAGATTCACTTCGAAGTGTTCAAGTGCTCTCTATCCCCAATCATTAGTGCCGCTGCTGCTTTAAATATTAGGAATGCATTTTTTTAGCTCTCACGTCCCAAATCTTAGCTGGATAGTAGTAACAAGGTCTGTATTTTACAGAGTTTAAGAAATCATAAATGCTTGAAAGATTTTTTGTTCTACCGATGCCCTTGTTACCCTGCTTTAATGTTTAGCTGCTAAAGTTATTTTATGTTTCTCACTACTTGACTGATACAATCATTAGACAACGTAAGCAGCAGTTGTTCAACGTCCTTTCTCAGCTTCTCCAACAGAAAAAAAGAAAGGGTAAACGATTGTAGTTTTCTAAAAATATTAGAATTTAGACACTTTTGAAGAATTTTAAAAACTTATTGATATCTGGAATATCTTGGAATTTAAAAATGCCACTGACATAGTAGTGTGGTGTTATAGATACTGTAATAATTCGTTATTCGCTATCACATAAGGTTTCATTTGGCATGCGTTTTGTCTATACTGTTTTTGTTTTTAGGCAGTTACAATTGTTGATTTTGACAACAAAAGCATGTTTGATTTGTCTATACTGTTTTTGTTTTTAGGCAGTTACAATTGTTGATTTTGACAACAAAAGCATGTTTGATGCGGTATTATTTTATTTTACAAAGTGCTAAAACACTTTGAGAATAGTAACTCAAAACCAAAACTCCAAAAAATTATTTTTTCTTGTTTTGACAATTGTTCATGGCTCAAAATCATATTTTACATGTTTCTATTTTCGACATTTTTAACAGCAAAAACATTGTTTATATTTTAATCAAAAACAAACCGCCTAAAGTGCATGCCAAACGAGCCAGAAAGATATTCATAACCACGATGATGATAACCAAAGAAATTTACGCCTCCGTTTTATTATGATAAAACATAATATTGACAATAGGAGTCATTTCTGTTTACAAGGGGACTAGCTTAGCTTAGACATTATGCACAAACACTAATACAAGTTCTATTATAGTTCTGCAAAAAAGATGCAAATAAACTGCATCGAACAACAGAGATCTATGCCATTCTATCAATCCATACGGATGATGCATCGAAGGCTTTCCCCTTTTAGCATGAGGTTGAAGGCCTCGTTGATTTCCGAGAACGAGACTTCATGGGTAATGAACTTCTCCACTTCAAGTTCCTGAAAGATAAGAAATGACACAGTTGAGCACAAATTTTGGTTGTCTCCTAGTTTTTTTAGTCTCTCAGATTTTGCCCGAGAGAATTGGGATCAGTGGGCAAACCTTGTTCATGTATTTTTCCACGACAGAAGGAAGGTCCGAACGGGGTTTATAATTGCCGAAGAAGGTACCCTTTAGAGTTCTTTCATTCAGGAAATTCACCGGGTGGGTCTTGAAGACAGCTTCTTTGTTGGGAACACCCACAAGAACAGCAAAACCCCAGCCCTGAGATGACACTTATTTAGTATATCATCATTTGAAATGAAATAGATACAGATAATAGATTCTTGCATTAGGTGAAAGTTTAGGACAATCACATTGTTCCATTAGGTTGCTGCTAATAACATGAACCGGGTGAATCAAAACGGAGTATAGGAACATACATCGTGGACACATTCGAATGCAGAAATCATGGCATCGATTTGGCCAGTACATTCAATGCTTCTATCCACTCCTCCACCAGTCATCTCAGCAACCACCTAAAGAGCAATCAACCGAAAAATTCAACCGGTTATGTGAAATACATTTAAAGGGCTACTAGCACTGCCAGCAAGTTTGGAAAAGTACCTCTTGAACTGGTTTGTTATGGTCTTTTGGATTCACAAACTCTGTCATGCCAAACTTCTTAGCTGTTTACAAAAAGAAGTATATCAGCTAACGTAGTCTCTCCATTGTATGCTCTGGCAATGCAGATACAATTCTATTTATAGTGAACAGATCGCTTGCCGAGTTCAAATCTGTTAGCATTTAGATCAACACCAATAATTCTTGAAGCCCCGGAAATTCTGGCACCTTCTGCAGCCTAATAACATAGATTTACCATAACATAAATAACTCATTCGATATATTTGGTAAAACATCACTAAGTAATTATGTGCGATACTCACTGCAAGGCCTACGGCTCCCAATCCAAATACTGCCACAGTTGAGCTTTTTTTGGTTTGGCAACATTCAAAGCGGCACCAAGGCCTGCAAAACGAACACCCGAAAATGTGTTCAATACATTAGTTAAAAGCCTTTGCGTAAACCTTATGATAATTGGGACTAGAATTAGATGACGAGTGACCACTGTTCTGTACCTGTGGAGATTCCACAACTGAGAATGCAAACTTTGTCAAGAGGGGCATGGGGGTTTAAAAGTTGTCACAAATCTTCTTGGCCGAATCAATTGCAATGACAAAATCCAAAAAAAAATCAATTGCAATGAAGACACTAAACACTCTATAAAACTATCAAATCTTAATAAGAGCATTTGACTTAGTGGTGGCATATAATGGTTCTTAAAACACTCTTTATGATATTCTTGGAATTATTTGATTTGAGAGGGATAATTTAGTATTTTGAAATAAGAATTTGGAAGACATTTTAGATGTAATTAATGATTGTCAATGCAAACATAATTATTTTATTTATATAATTAAATCCAAAGGGAAAAATAAACCACTTTGTAATTTAGGACTTCTAAATTAGTGTAAGTATAATTTTCTCTATCATAATATAAATTCTACTGACCTTTACAATATTTTTGGTTCAAATAACGTACAAATTTGAGATTCCAATTTATATTACATTATCTTGTGAGCTTTTTTTTCTCACTAATACTATAATTATACTGCTCTTTAAAGACCATTTGAGGGTACTTTTGTCAAATATTTTTATGTACTTGCTAATAACAATTATATAATTATTTTGTTGTTTTAAGTTTGAACACGGCGAAGAAGAAAAGGAAAGAAGGGTTGGAATGGAAAATACGAACACCGCCATTGAATGCATAAACCTTGCAGCTTATCAATGGCTATCCTTGTGGGAACAGAAAGAAGAAACCGTAGAGAGAGAATTTTTTTTCTTTTCTCAGTTAGGATTCAGATTATTTGACTACAACCATTTTGTAAATTTGAGTTTGATACTTAAATGTCGTTTTAGAGAGACTTATAAAATGCACACTTTTTTTTTATAGAATTTGTACAGTGTTTGAGTATTAAGAATTTGCTGCGAAAAATAAATAAGAGAAGATAGCTATTATGTGTTTGTCAATAAATAGGTATTAATGAAATTTACAGTCTATTACTAAACAACAATATAGTTTTATGATTGATGACTATGGGATTTTTTAAAACTTTATGGTCACTTTAAAGCTGTTATATTTATGGGTAAATTATTTCATAAAATTGCTTATAGATTAAATTAGTTAAAAAAAAAAAAGCTGGAACCTCCACTAAGGTTCGGTAAATTTTGCCTGCCTCTTAACTGTTAGACAGGTCAAAAAGTTAACTAATTTTAAAAAATAAAATGTCAAAATTACCATTTCTTATGGTGAAATATCCAAATAAACCTTACTTACTTTTTAAAAGGACAATTTTAACCTTAAATCACTTGGACCTTTATACCCTCACATGTATTGCTTAAATTCATAATCATAACTGCTCCTGCAACCTCATTCACTGAAGAAGACAAATTTGCTCCACTCCGAAAACCAGTGCGCGATATTTGGATTTTTTTCCCTTTTTTTTTGTTTTTTGTTTTGGTTTTTTTTTTGGTAAGAAAAAAAAAAAAAATTAATACAAAAAAGTAAACTGAAATGTCAAAAAATTCAAGTCCTTGGTTTACAACTTCTCAAAATAAAATAAAAAAAAACATAATGTGCACGTTGCCCAAATAGTACTACTGACATTTACATGAAACACCTGTCAACATATTGTTTCAGCGACAGTATAATTAGGGAGGAACTAGGAAGCCAAGAATTTATTTATGATAATAATTGCTCTAAAGTGCATATCAGGACAAACTTACTCAAAAAAATTTAAGTGGATTGAGGAGCTTGAGCTTTCCCGAATTGCTCATCACAGAGACGCAGTTGATGGAATTTCTTCTTTTCTGATTTTTGTTGGGGTAAATTATATTGACACACAGTGGTTTGTTCTGTTGAAAACCGAATACAATTTAATTAATTAATTAATTTTTTTATATTTTTGACAATGACACAACTTGTTGGAAATTAAATCCAAAAAGCTCTTAAAAAAATGTGAAAAGTCGAAATCTATGGTTTTAAATTGTAAAATATCATCTCTCTCGAAAGACGCTTTCGCCCTTTGGTGTAAGAATTAAATGGATCTTATGCAGATGAGTACAAAAAACTAAAGATTTTAAACAAAAACATTGAAGCATTTGGTTACGAGTCATGACCTATTGAGGCTCTGATTATAAAGGGGCACTACAATGAAGCACATAAATTATGAAGATGAAAACAGTCATTACATTGACTACTGAATGCTTGGAAAAGGCCTGGATTGTATGAATGTGGGAGATATAATTATTGCATAAATTACTAATAATATTATGATTCCAGATTATTTATGGGTTATTTTGGTTAATTAAATGACTTAGAAAGGATAAAAATGTAATTCCATGATTCAAACCAGTAAATGTATCCATGGCTGTGGTTCTTGGATAGATACTAAGCTTAGACTTCTTCCTAATATGTTGAGGCTGAAAGAAACAAGAACAAGAAAATTACTCCAAAATGCAAGAAGATCCATTTCAACCAAACTGAATTTAGGTGTGAATTTTCGAAACGGTCAAAAATAAAAACCAGAAAAATATTCATTTTTTTTTCTTAAGATATCAACAAACAAAAGAAATTTAGCATTTCAATAGATAGAGTCATGTATGCTCACAAACAACCAAACATATTTTATTATATTTTCCCGCCCAAAAAAAGATGCAAATCAACTGCATCCTACTGCAGATTTCCATGCCGTTCTGTATCAATCCATACGGATGATGCATCGAAGGCTTTCCCCTTTCAGCATGAGGTCGAAGGCCTTGTTGATCTCCGAGAATGAGACTTCGTGAGTAATGAACTTCTCCAGTTCAAGTTCCTGCAACAAAAGAAATGACACAATTGAGCACAGAACATGGTTGTCTCCTACTTTTTTACTGTCCTGAGAGAATTGGGATTAGTGAGCTCACCTTGTTCATGTACTTTTCGACGACAGAGGGAAGGTCCGAGCGGGGTTTATAATTGCCGAAGAAGGTACCCTTTAGAGTCCTTTCGTTCAGGAAATTCACTGGGTGAGTCTTGAAGACAGCATCTTTGTGGGGAACACCCACAAGAACAGCAACACCCCAGCCCTGAGATCACATTGTTTTAGTATTTATAAACATTTGACCAACCGGCAAGTGGCCTAACAGTTCCAGCCTCTTGCTTTCTAAAGAGAGGTCAGGGGTTCAAGACTAAGAAGAAACATGTGTGTGAGTACCAACTAGGGAAAAAAAAAACATTTGGAGTGAAATAGATACGGATAATAAATTCTTGCATTAGGTGAAAGTTTTTAGGACAATCTCATGTTACATTTGACTGGCTTAGACAAGGCTTAAATGGAAGTTAAAAGTATAGATACGTACATCGTGTACACATTCGAATGCAGAAATCATGGCATCGATGTGGCCAGTACATTCAATGCTTCTATCCACTCCTCCACCAGTCATCTCAGCAAGCACCTAAAGAGCAATCAACCGAAAAATTCAATCACTTATGTGAATTACAAAGAAAGAGCTAGGACTGCCAATAAGTTTGGAAAAGTACCTCTTGAACTGGTTTGTTATGGTCTTTTGGATTAACGAACTCTGTCACGCCAAATTTCTTTGCTGTTTACAAATAGAAGCAGATCTCATCAACTAAATTTTGTTTTTTTCGAGTGGAAAATAAATAAAAGAGGAGTATCAACTAGCATTGTCACTCTGTAGTATGTACTGGCAATGCATATATTTATAGTGAGCAGATTGCTTACCTAGTTCAAATCTGTTAGCATTCAGATCAACACCAATAATTCTTGAAGCCCCGGAAATTCTGGCGCCTTCTGCAGCCTAATAACATAGATTTACCATAATATAAATAACTTATTTGACGATTTGGTAAAACATGCACTAAATATTTACAAGAGATGTAACTCACAGCAAGGCCTACAGCTCCCAATCCAAATACTGCAACAGTTGAGCTCTTTTTTGGTTTGGCAACATTCAAAGTGGCACCAAGGCCTGTAAAACAAACACCCGAAAATTTGTCTAATGCATTAGTTAAAAGCTTTAGCGTAAACCATATGAAAATTGGGACTAGAATTAGATGACGAGTGACAACTGTCCTGTACCTGTGGAGATTCCACAGCTGAGAATGCAAACTTTGTCTAGAGGGGCTAGGGGGTTTATCTTGGCAACACAACCAACATGGATCACAGTGTACTCGCTAAAGGTGGATGTTCCAACAAAATGGTAAATGGGCTTGCCATTGATCGTGAACCTCGATTTTTCATCATGAATCATCACTCCCCTATCGGTGTTAATCCTGAGGAGATCACACATGTTGCTCTCTTCTGATTTGCAATGAGCACACTCTTTGCACTCACCGGTGAAGACAGGGAGCACATGGTCTCCTGGTGCAAGATCGGTCACACCCTCCCCCACACTCTCCACAATCCTAAATACCCACCAAAATTAGATAAAATGACATAAAAAAATAGTGGTATTGGATTCAACATAATCATAAAACTCACATTATATTGTAAGAATCACAAAGGAACATTCAAATCCTAAGTACCCACAAAAATTATATAAAAGGATACAAAAAATAGTGATTTTGGATTCAATATAATCAGAAAACCCATTATATTGTAAGCATAACAAATGAACATGCAAACACTATTATATTGAAGTAGAGTAAGACCATTTATGGACTAAAATTAACATACCCTCCTGCCTCATGCCCGAGAATCCGAGGAAACACGGGGTTCTGTCCCTGCAATAATCGAAAAAGTCGTGGAAATTAATGTGCAGTACAAGCATAATGGATATATATAGTCATGAGTCTTAACCAAACAATGGTTGAAACAGAAAATGAAGGTTAATTTTACCTTGGCTTCCCAGAAGTAGACATCAGTGTGGCAGAGAGAGGTATAGAGAATCTTCAGACGGACCTCCATTTTCTGTGGAGGAGCCACCTCCACTTCTTCAATCACTAATGGCTTCCCTGCTTCCCATGCCACAGCAGCTGCAACATCAAACCTAAAACACCCATCATTTCACAAATTCCACATGATAAAAGTCATGAATCAAAATTCTCTTTCCGTGTTCCCTGCTGTTGGTGTATTTTACCACTATCAATGGTGAATTTAGCTTAAATTTTACCATTATAATAACGAAATTCACCATTGATTGTGGTAAAATTCACCAACCGCAGGGAACTAAAATCGTTACTGTAGAGGATTGGGGTCCTAAAATCATAAGCAGTAATCAGTCAATCTGAATGGACAACAGGTCCCATGAAAGTACACACTGTGCTTCTCCGAGAGTACAATTCAATATATACATAGGGAGTATATGAATTAAAAACATCACCTTTTGTCCATCCAGAGAAATATCAGAAATTAAATACGGAGTATTAACATCCCAAGAACCAGCTTTTTTAAATAAAAAAAAAAAAGACAAACAAACTACCATAATCAAACCCTCCCCTAAAATATAATTAATTGAAAATGATGGAGTTGAGTGATTAAAAAAACAAATTTAATTCAAACAATAATATAAAATCTGACGCACACATTCATAAGAAGGGTACACAATGAAATAGGAAGAAGAAAGAAGTAAGCTTTTTGTCCCTAATGTCACTATAATACAATTTTATATATACCCAAAGTTCATCAAATATACTAAAATCCCAAATTTACATAGCAAGAAAGAAGAAACCAACACTCAAAATGATTGACTGAACCAGGAAACAATTCTGCAAAGAACTACTATAGTACCAAACCCTTGAATAAAAAAAAATAAAAAATGTTTGAACCCAAGAAAGAAATCACAAGAGAGAGATGAAATTAAGGTGGAATAGAGAAATATATAGTACATCATACCTCTGCAACGTATGACTTGACCAACTGTATTCGACATTTCTTCTTTCTCTTCTTCACTCACAACCCAAAACAAAACAAAATAAAGAGAGAGAAAATATGATATAAATGGAGACTATATATAAAGCTTATCAAACTATGAAGTCGGTGGTTTGAGATGAGACTATTGTATTGGATGGGTATATATATACTATGAATGGGAAAAGAAACAATATGAGAAAAGTTTACAATTTTAATCAGTTAATGGGCAGTCTGAATAAGCAGAGTTGTTTTTGTTGGTATTGTAATAAAGTGTAATGCAAATTCAGTAGGCTATGACAAAACCATTCCCTGGTTTTCATTCCAGGGGCTTTTGGACACTGGTTTTACCATCCGTTGTTTTGTCGTTCTTGACCTTCATTATGAGGGATGTAAAAACATTAATGAAAAGCCAATATGATCGAGGTACCGAGGATATAATATTCACAGACAATGATGAGTTGTTATTTCTTGCTTTAGATAAGCTGTTGCTTCTTATTTTAAAACAGAGTCCTACGGCTTTTTGCTAATATTTTTGTCAGTAATTTTATATATTTTTTATTTTTTTATTTTAGGATAACCTTCACTTACTTCCCCCAATTTGCACTTGATCACCTTAACATTTGAAATTAGATCAGCATGACCAATAAAATGGAGTCAACGGGCAAGATAAGATAATGTTTCCCTTATGTTGTTAAAGCAGATCAGCATGACCAACAAAATGGAGTCAACGGGCAAGATAAGATAATGTTTCCCTTATGTTGTTAAAGCAGATTGTAAGGGTTCGAATCTTGAAATGAACAAAATGATGTATGTCAAGCAATGTTAATATTTTTATAATTTTTTTCATATAATTTTCTTTTGATAGAATCCAATTATGAATTCACAAAACTGTCAAAATAATAACATTGTTCTCTTTTTAAATTTGATAAAATAGAATTCAAATCTTTCTTAGTGCATTGTGAGAGTTGTTTGCTGAAAAACAATGTATACACAAGTCTCAATTCATCTAATTGAATCGAAATTCATTTCTTTATAATGAAAAAAGATTCTTTGGGAAAAAATAAAATAAAATTCAAGGGCTTAGATCTCCGAAAATATTAGTTTTATACCCACAAAAAATATGAAACCAATTTGACTTGGACTGGCCTCCTAAAATTTAAACACACACACACACACATATACATCTTTTTATCACATTTAGGGCTGCAAATGAACCGAGCTGTTCATAAACAGCTCGGGTTCGGCTCGCTAAGGGCCGAGCTCGAGCTCGTTCATTAAGTAAACGAGCCGAGCTCGAGCCCAATTTTTAAGCTTGCTTAGTAAACGAGCCGAGCCCGAAAAACGTTAGGCTCAGCTCGCATGGGCTCGTGAACAAGGCTCGTTTAGGCTCGTGAACTAGGCTCGTGAACAAAGCTCGTTTATTAGCCATTTATAAATTTTTGATCTAGCCCATATGTGTGAGTCCATTCAATTATACATGATAAGCCCATTTAAAAACCATTACTATAATCTAAGCCCAAACAAAAATGGCCCATATTCATTTTAAAAACCCAACCCATTTATGTTACCAAACAAACCCTATTTTCTAGTTCATTCTTTACCACAGAATAAGCATCGGCGGCCACTCTCATCTTCCCCATTCACTTTTTTTCTTCTCTAACTATTCTTCCTTCACTGGCCGCCCTTCAACATTTCATATTATGAAGACACCAATGGAAGAGTAATGAAAATAATTGCTAGCTGTAGATGATTTCAGACAACCTGAAGGTATGTATGTGCATATATATATATATATATATATATATATATATATATATATATATATATATATATCTATTTTTATTTTTGATAAGTAAGAGTTAGGGTTCATAAAATTCACTTTTCAAACACCATCACTGCCTCAATCTCAACCTCCAGGCCCCGATGAGGAAGTGGTCGATACCTCGTGTACCGTTTCTCTCATGCATTCTCTTTCTCTTTCCAGATTGAGGTATGTTAGGGCTTTCTCTCCCTACTGGCATACATGTGTTCCATATATGGACTTGTATTAGAGTAAAGTTCACATTCTGATTCTTAAGATTGATGTGCTTATTGATGTAAATTGATAGATATATAGCTCCACACATTGATATATATATGATATAATTGTGTTATATTTTGTATTATATATACTTGTAAATATGTTTGCTGGGTATCTATAGTTGTTATGTATCTCTATGTGCGCTGTATCTACAGATGAGCCCGAACCGAACCGAGCCCGAGCTCGTCGATTTTCTGACGAGCCGAGCTCGAGCTTGGCTATTCTAGGCTCGCCCGAGCCCGAGCCGAGTCCGAGCACCTCCCTGATTGTGGCGAGCTGAGCCCGAGCATGCCAAAGCTTGGCTCGGCTCAGCTCATTTGCAGCCCTAATCACATTTGGGGGCATCATCTGCTATATGACAACAATTTTGCAATGTTTATGCATTACTTCACTTGAACTGATTTTTGCTTCTAGTATTCTATGCGATAGTCTTCCATACTCTATGGTAGTAAATGACTAAATGGTAATAATAAGTTGGGGGTAAGTGCAAAAAATATTGTATACATTTGATAGCACTTTATCCTTTATTTAAAAAATTGTGCAAAAAAAAACCTTTATTCTTTTCTCTTCTCTCTTTTAACCCTTCTTTCTCCGAAGGAGAGCTACCGCCAGACCGATGAGAAGTTAGAATGGAGGATGGTTCAGTGGTTTGTCAAGGATGGCAGCGAGTTCCGGAACTAATGGGTCTGACTGAGACGATCAATAGCCCTCAAAGCACTCAACTAATATAAATATCAATCTACATAAACACAGTTTAGTGTTGTTACTCCTCTATATGCAATTAGTAAACAACACCAATCAGCTCTAGTCAATGGAGAACTGATTCTAACATAGAAATCCAGTATATATATATATATATATATATATATATATATATATATATATATATATATATATTAGTGGATGTATGGGTAAGATCTTCATGAAACTAAAAGAACCTATATTTCTATGCCATTTAAAGTTCAAATTGAAGCATGTGAATCAAAAAATAAGCTGGAATCTACTGAATTCTAATCAAATCCCAATTTGCAATAACCAACGATTTCTAAATAAATTGAAGTAAATCTTAAATTCCAGTAAATCCAAATCACTCTCACCTTGAAAATCAAGGTCTTTCCAATCCGACCAGCAAGGTGATTCGCAGCATACTCATATCCCTGGTCAATTTCCTCTCAATCGCCACTATATCGCCGAATATAGTCTGAATTGCGGTCAAGGTCACCGGTGCCAAATCGAACAGACACAATTCCATCTCCAGATGCAAATGCACATTCAAATCACAAACATCCATCAGAGCCCTGGTGCATGGCACGAGCCGGAGCAACTCTTTGGTGCTTCCATTCTTGCTGAAGAGCACCAAAGATCGGAATTCGGCGATGATTTTTGGGAAGCGGAGGACCGGAGAAGGTTAAGGAGGTAGTGGAGGTGACCCACATCTGTGGCGAGGACGCCGAAAAGATTAAGCCCAGAGAGGTTCTTGTCGGATTTGGTGCTCTTCCAGGGACTTGGCGATTCGAGCTCATTAAAGAGGTTGCCGGTCAAAGAAATCTGATGTTTATGGGTTAGTTATGCTTGCAATCTTGCACTTGAAATCGTTGCCGGCCTTGTTCGTCTTCATAGATTGGAAACCCAGATCACGATTTTGGCGCCATCATCACAAATTTTTTACTTTTTTTAGCTACCCTTATTTCACAATATATTAATTATATATATTATATTAAACGTGTAGGGGCATTTTAGTCATAAATGTATAAGTATGACCTATTTGCACAAACGTCATAGTTTAGGAGTGTTTTTTTGCACGCGAAGGGTGTTTTTTGCAATTCACCCTAATAAGTTGCCAATAAAAACACTGTTCAAAATTGGGCTTATTACTAGGATGGCCTAGACTTGGGCCTGGGTTATAGTAAACAACAGGCCTCTTTATTTCCCCTCATAAAGCAGGAACCCAACCAACTGGTGTGGTTGATATTCCATACATACAGCGATACAGGAGAGAGAGAGAGAGAGAGAGAGAGAGAGAGAGAGAGAAATGATGCGAGGAGTGCATTTTTGTTTAGGTAATGATGGGCTTCAGTTGGACATGATCAACTTTTCTGAGCCCATCCCATTAATATGGCAAGGAATGCACTATCACCTTGCGATACACTTTTCATCACATTACATGTTCTTTTTAACAAATTACCACCCAAAATCACATGATTCCGAACTATTTAGTAATTTCTCTTAAAAGATATCACATGATTACTCGTAAAAGTGGTTATCTGATTTGATCACCCATCCTAACCATTTGATTTAACAAACATAGGACTTCTATTGTCTTTTTCACAGGCACATCACATTTAATTCACATTAGCCTGACCTTGCATTACAGACAAACCTTATGTTCTTTTCTTAGCTAAGAAAGTGAATTACACTCTGTTGGCACCAAAACTTGGCAGCCATCTCAGCGATGACGTGGACCAATGAAAAACTGATAAGTATTTTTAACATGGCGTCAAGGGAATCAGCCAGTTAAGAAATATCAGGAGCAAGTATTGGAGAAAGTTACTCAGCCACTTCATTAACAAGGCAGTTGCTAAAATATAGCAACAAACATTTGACTTTATTCAAGTTGGGTTATCAACAGGAAAGGAAAGACTAAAGTTTTAAAAAAATCAGACAACTGAATTCCTATTTTATAGGAATTCTAGTTGGATGGAACAAGGAAAAAATACAAAAGGCAGCCGCGTCATGAATATAAAAGCGATAAATGGCTTTTGGGCAATTTAAGGGAAGAAACGGTGACCAAGTATAAGGAAAGAAGTTGCTAAAAATTAGCAACTTTCCAGCAACTTCTTTAGCAACTTTTCAGCAACAATTCGACAACTTGCATTTGACTAAATCAAGGAGAGTTTTCAACAAGGAGTTTCTATTGAAGCAAGAAGAGAAGAGACGCAAAAGACTACTGGAACGTGGTTTAGTTTGAGTAATAAAGTGAAGAAAAGAATCAAAGAAGGAGAGATTTTCTAGCAATAACTTAGGAAAATAAGTTGAGATAGAACTTCTATAAATAGAAGTATTGTATTCCTATTCCAATTTGTCCAGCACCACCACAAAACATGCATTTCAACTAAAAATGTTTTCAATTAACTCTACGTCATTTTTTCCTATCAGTTTCTTTATTTCAATTTAATGACAATTGATTAGATCATTGTCAACTATTTTAATTCAGCCATTTACTTTCTTTCAATTTCAATTATGCCAATTTAAATTACGCAATTTTAGTTAGGCTTTTAATTCAATGGCAATTGATTAAATTCTTGCCATTGAATCGTAGTGACAATTGATTAAATTCTTGTTATTACTTGGCTGATGGCAATTGATTAAATTCTTGCTATCACGTTTCAGTGGCGATCGATTAAATTCTTGCCATTGTGTTTGGCTGATGGCGATTGATTAAGTTCTCGCCATCACGTTCGGCCGGCGATCGATTAAGTTCTTGCCGCCTATCTTCACTCGGCCATTCCATCCATTCAAACATTCATCAGCCGTTGCATTTCTTTAGACACTCTAAAAAGTCCTTGCTACAAACAAGGCATAAAAGAACCTTGCTGGGAGTTCTTACTAGTCTCTCTCC